ACTCTTAAACATTTTTTTTGGTAGAAGGCATAAGATTAATAATATAAGCTTTAAAAATATGTGTTGCAAAAAATATTTTCAAAATATGTATGGAAGTACGTTTATTTAAATTTTAAATTGAACTAAAATATTTGACTTAAAATCGATTAAAATTCAGATTTTTTTTGACACGTTTTAGGCATTGGGAAGTACGGGTCCCATCTATTCTTGTATGGAACTGGAATGTGAATGTGATTGTCTATCTCCTCCAGAAATTCTTGCCACTTCTTTCCACTGAAATTTGGACGCAGGAATCTTTTTAGTTGGCCTCAATTAAAATTAACCCTCCAATTTAATTTTTAAAAGACAAACTTAAAAAGCAGAAAAAATTACTCCTTTTTTTTTTGTTCACACCATCACTAGTGTGTGTGAATTTCTGTATAGGATTTAGGTAAATGAATGACACTGTTCATAACTTATGAATCTTTTTAAACATGTTAGAGTTTATATAATATACAAATAAATTATGATCTGTTGGCAAAAGAAAGTAAATTGTGATCTAACAATCCTTTTAAAATCATTATTTTTTTCTCTCTTACAATTTTTTAAAAAAGTTACTACTGAAATGTATAAAACTGAAACACAAAGTTTCCCGACTGAGTTCTCATTCGTGAGAAGCATTTTAACAAGCAAGACGGTTTTTTTTCTCTTTCCCTTTCCGCACTTGGGTGCCACTCACATCCCCCCACCCCCCAAAAAAAAAACGTTGGTGTTGAGGGCAAAAAAGGACAAGAACTTCGATATAAATTTGAATTATCAGATAAAAATATACTCTTCGGGTTATTAATATAAAACCCAATTATTAAATTGGTTGTAGTCTTAAATATAAAACTCATTTATTATATTTATTAATTTTCTCTAAATTACTCATATAGATACTCCTTCAACCATAATCAAGTAGAAGGGGTATTAAGAAAGATGACTATGGTGTTTTAAGAAAAATATGTCACTTTTTTATAATTAACTAACTTACCTAATTTTTTAAATCTAATCAAATTAGTTAAATACGTTTTATATTAATAACTAAAAGAGTATTTATCAGATATACTTAATTTTCAAATCGATGGGGACGGGGGGCACCGGAAGCAGTGGAACCACATCATCAACCTTCATCGTTTGGGAGTGAGAGCAATTATGGAAGCCAGAAAGACCAACAAGCAGTGGAAGAGGATCTAATAAATAGTAGGTAGGACCCATTTAATAATTTATTAAATAATCAAAATTGAAATATATTTGTCTTTAAATAAAATCTTACATTTCTGCTGTCCTTTTTCCATGTGATACCTGGTCTAAAGCAAATTAACAAAATTTGTCTTTTAGCCTATTATATATAAATTAATATATTTTCGATAAAATTTACGGGTGATGCCTAATTGATGCAACTGAACCGACAAGAAAATGTTTAAATATCAATTTTTTTTTAGTAAAAACGGAATACCATTCATTCAATAATTTCCATCCATCTCAGTTACACGGAGATGGAACGTGATCAAATATGTAATAATTTTCTTTAAAAATGAAGACGTCAGCATAGAGTTATCAGTTCTAGGCATATAATTTAAAACGATCATCCAATATCTTCTGTTTCGTGCATATATAAAATCAAGGAAAAATTCCAAAAAAGGTCCATCGAATATATGAAATCCCAGATTAGATCCCGAAATTTTCAAAATGACAGAAAGGGTCAGTGACCCAATCTGTCATTTGGCAAATCAAGAAGAATTGACAATTTTGCCCTCATTTGTATTCATTCACTACAATGATTTAAGAAATTACTATAAGGGTTTAAGTATTACCTAGATTCATGTAGCGAATAACTACTCGTTTTTTCATATTCAGGTGTCTTGTTATTAACTACAACTAATTTTGTAATCACTAGAACAATGTAAATATTACCTAGATTCGTGTAGAGAATAACTACTCACTTTTTCATAGTCAGGCACCTTATTATTAACTACAACTAATCTTGTAATTATTAACTATAACTAATCTTGTAATCACTAGAACATTGTAAGCGTTACCTAGATTTGTGTAGAGAATAACTACTTACTTAGTCAGGGGCAAAATTGTCAATTGGTCTTAATTTCACAAATGACAGATTGGATCACTAACCCTTTCTGTCATTTTGAAAATTCCAGGACCCAATCTGGGATTTCATATATTCGAGGGACCTTTTCTGGAATTTTCTCTAAAATCAATTGCTTATTTTACTTATCTTTGAACATATACGAGTACAAGTTCCTCATAAAATAATAAGTTTTTTTTTAATTATACTACATTTACAAAATAACATTCACCCATGTCCTTCTTTATCTATATAGATACACATTTATTTAAAAATTACAACAAAATGTATCACACGTAAACAATAAATGGCGCACCTCATTTCTCATACGTAAGGCTAAATTAGGTATATACATTTGGAGAAATGATATTCTAGTAATGGTGTGTTTGCTTTAAAAAGGAACATGTGAACTGAATAAAAATCAATTTGCTTGGCATCTTTGGTGGGTGCAGGTTAACAGAATGACAAGCAGAAAAAGAATGGTAACTCCTAAAAGCTACTTTTAAAAAACTAAACTAATTAACTAATACGAGTAGATTAAATAAATATAGGTGTTGTTTTTTTTAAAATATCTTTAATAATCAAGTTTATTGGTTAGAACTATTATTATTAGAAGGACCATTTTAAAAAATGAAAGGCAAAGTAAATTAAAATTTTATATTTAGAATCAAAATAAAAGTCAAACAAGATCTTCTATTAAGAAGCGGTAATTTAAACATCCTCTTAATTTTGAGGGAGCTCATGCAATCCGGCATTTGACGTTAATACATGTAGTAAAAAGCGTGCCTAAAACTTGAAGCTAAATTCCTTCTATTACAATGCAAAGTTCATCTCATTAAAAAATTCAACAATATTCTCTAAAATAAAATGAAATCATGTGCAAGGCTTTTTTTTTTTGGGGGCCAAAAAATCATGAGCAAGCTGAAATATTAGAATTTGCGCAAATACACGTAATTAATTAATTTAACTGCCAATAAATTGGACAAATATTTACTGAAAGGGTAAAAACTAAAAAGGCAGAGTGAGTCAGGGAAAATAAATAAACAAATAAAAAAGCATGCGGCGGGAGAATATGGGCGTGGATCCTATGCCCGTGAAAAAGGAGAAGAGAGATGTTGCCGACAATAACATTCATTGGATTAATCTTAGCCGCTTAGAATTCGACACGTGTTAAAAGGTTCAGCTTTGCGCGGGAAAAAGCGGAGATAACCAGGAAGAGGCATTATTGGAGGACACGTGCACATTATATTGTTAACAAAGAGAACAAAAAACGTTGGCAGTGACATGGATTTTGTTTCGTGGCATTGCTCAGTGAAAATTGTAAACGACCAAAGCACTCGCTGAATTTGTTTGTGTGGAAAAATGTTGGTTTTGAGGACCCATTTCCCTTCTGGTTTTTCCTTCCCATCTTATATTAGAAAAAAAGGTTGTTTTTTTTTTGTTATTTTTTTCTCTGTTTTCTTTCCTTCTATTCTTTTTATCCAAACAGGAGGTCAAATGTCTAAGCCAACAATTTTTTTTTTGAGCTAAAAGAGTAAAGACTAATGACATGAATTCGGGAGTATTTGGATAAGCATACAGAAGTACTTTTAGAAAGTATTTTTCGGTAAATCAAGATAAATTTTTCAACATATTTATTTCGTATATAGTAAGATTACTTTTAAAACTATAATTTTGTTTCTATCTAAACACTTTTAAAATTATAAACGGGATTGAACTCTTGATTTTTAACACATAAAAAGAATTTTTATGTTGTCAGGCTAGCAGATGATTAATTAAACCAAAAGGGTGTTTGAGTAGAAACAAAATCATACTTTTAAAAGTATTTTTACAGTAAATGAAATAAATATGTTAGAAAAAAATAATTATTCCTCTTTTTTGTTCTCTCTCTCTATCTTCTTTCCTCTTATTCTTTTTATCCAAACAAGGAGTAAAATGTCTAAACCAACAACTATTTTTTTGAGAAAGAAAAGTAAAGACTAATGACATGAAATTTTAAGCGAAATTGAACTCATGATTTTTCACACAAGAGAATTTTTACGTCGTTAGGCTAGCAGGCCATTAAATAAACGAAGAAACATTTTAGTAAGACTAATTAGGTTGCTGTTTCATGGCATATGGCGGGTGCTTAATTTGAAGCCAAACTCGTTTTACCTCTGAAAATAAACACGGCTTAGTTTTCTGAGCCTTCAATTTAAGGGCATCAACTCTATCTTTTTTCTTTTTTCTTTTTGAGTGATTCATTTCTTTTTTACTTTCTCTGTAAAAGTTACCTAAGTCTGTTTTCTTTTAAAAAATATATTTTATAGATGCATACTTTGCTTTTCTGAAAGGAAAGATGACTCGCACGAATTTAACCCCTCATACGTGGCGTGATTTTGTAACATTCTGATCCATCAACAGTTTGGTTTAATTATTTATAGATCCCCTATATAGAAATAGGGAGCAGACAATCTATCTAAACTCGTGTCAGTAAGCCAAGAGAAATCTTCTCCAAGGCAAACGCCCCTTCTCTTCTTTTTTTTTTTTTTAATTCATGTAAATGAAACTCAAATTTTAGCAGGTTAAAGTATAAATTTATTTTTAAATTTTTTATTTATGAGTACTAAATATTTGTAAGTTTTTTTAATACAAGTTTATCTTAAAAATTTTAAAAAAATAACATTAATTATTAAAATTTTTAATAATAAAAATAATATTATTATGGTTTTAAACTTTTAATAAAATTTACATAAAATATTTTTGAATACTGGCGCTTGGTGAATAAAAATTTTTAAGACAAATTTGTGTTTTAACTCGGCTTCAACATAACTGCCATTTTGAGAGACAAGGATACAGGTGTCATTATCAGGAATCCCACTCCCATTTCCGCAATTCCAAAGGACCTCCCCGTTCTTCCTCTTCTTCTTACCCCTCTCTCCACTTCCGCCATCATCACGCCCCACCTACTCACTCGCAGTCACTCACCCCAGTATAGTTGGAGCAGCGAGGAAGTTCTTCACCCTTTTCGTTCTGCAACTACTCTCTCTCTGAAATGGGGAGCCGAACCCCTTCGCACCAGCTCAGTAGTGGGCTGTACGTCTCGGGTCCACCCGAGCAGCTCAAGGAGCGCCAACCCACAATGGCGTCACGCGCCGTTCCTTACACCGGCGGTGACCCTAAGAAATCGGGCGAGCTTGGTAAAATGTTTGATATCCCATCCTCGAATGCGCCTCCTTTGAAATCTTCGCGTCCCTCTTCGTCATCTCAGCATAGCAGTGGGCAGGTGCGATCCGCGTCCAGCTCTGGTCCGATAGGGAGGCACAGCGGTTCGGGTCCGATGCCGAAGAAGACGTCGGGCTCGATTCCGCTTCAGCCCACAGTTCTCATCACCTCGGGTCCAGCAGGATCCGGCCCGATGGGTTCCTCGGATGGCGGGAGGAGGTCGGGTCAGCTTGAACAACCGGGTTCGATCGGGAAGGCGGTTTACGGCTCCGCCGTGACGAGCTTGAACGACGATATGAATGTCGGTTTCAGGCTTTCTAAAGCGTTTGTGTGGGTATTCATGGTGTTGGTTGCAATGGGCCTGCTTGTGGGGGCGTTTCTGATGGTGGCGGTGAAGAAAGCGGCGATTCTGGTGGCTCTTGGGGGAATTGCCGTGCCGGTTCTGGTTTTGTTTGTTTGGAACTGCGCTTGGGGGAGACGAGGGCTGTTAGGGTTTGTAAAACGGTATCCTGATGCTGAGCTTAGGGGCGCCGTTGATGGACAGTACGTGAAGGTCACCGGGGTAATTTCATCTGTGCTTATTGTTAATTCTTTCATTATATTGTTGACCCAAGCGTTTCTTTTCTTCAGACAATGACTCGCCAATGCTTAATGGTGGTATCTGGTAATTGGTTGTCCTCTGATTTTATTGAGATTGCAATGATCTAATCTGATTTTTTTTTTTTAATAATGGATGGGTAAATTTGTTTGTTAGGTATGGATTTGAATGCTGTATGACGGATGGATATATAATAATGATGGCGACTCCCTTTTGTGATTATTCTAATGATGAGTGGTTGCCGATTGGGGTTTACCAGTGTCCTAGATATTAGATTGCACTTCCGAAGAAGAAGTGGGAAAATGAAGAAAGAAGTAGGGGCAATAATAACAATGCCAGAAGGTTTGGTTTGATGCATGAATTGAGCATAGAATTTTTTTGGTTTTTTTTTTTTTTCCGGTGGGGGGGGGCGTGTGAGGTGCATTTACAAGGTAGGGTCAGAATGGACCAGATACTTGCTTCTTGAAGGGTTAATGGACAGAATTCTCTAGAGCAATGTTTCTTTACAATTACAATGCATTAAAGTGATTGATTCTTAACCTTGACTTTATTAATTTCTTGCATTCTGGAATTTAGGGAAGTCGAAGCCACATAATTGGAAAGCTTTTACGCATCCATTTTGCTGCATTGTTCGGTTCTTTTTCCATCTCTTTCACCATCTGAAATTTTGGTCATCACTGAAAGTATTCAGAGCTTTTGCAATATCATGCAATATATTCCATTGATATCAATGCTATTAAAGCGAATGTGATTTAAGTTTAAATTTCTACATCAGGACAAAAATTTTGCCTTTTCATATGCCTCTGGTCTCTTCATGTAGGTTGTAACCTGTGGCAGTATTCCTTTGGAGTCTTCCTACCAAAAAGTACCTAGATGTGTACATGTCTCGACAGAATTATATGAATACAGAGGATGGGGAGGGAAATCTGCAAATCCTAAACACCGCTCTTTTACTTGGGGTTCAAGGTATTCTGAGGTTAGTTTATTGAACTACTTAATTGATGCTTTATGTCAACTGATTTTGGATCGAGCAATGATGATTGATAAAACTCAAACAAGGCACGTGGTGTAGGGACATCTCGTTTCTTAAGTGACTCTAAAACCTGTTGATGGAACATTTTACCATGAGTCTGTGACATAGACCAACAGGCAATCAATATTATTGTGTCGTTTAGGATGCTTATAATCCCATGTCACAAATACCGCTTTTGTCCATAAGAACAAGTTCTTTGTGCGAGAGAATTGGTGTGCCTGCTTTGTTTACCTAGTCCAGAGAGTGGAAATTTGGGGAAGGGTTCATCACTACAAGACTATAACCTTTTTTGTCATTTTAACTCTTCCGAACAACTAAGAATTTTTGAACTTACATTTGGCTTCATTTATCCCACATTTTAGTATTTTAGTGTGCTCTGTTACCTGTCTGAATCAGTATGTCCACTCACCCATGTCACATCTCTTGTTTGTCAGCAAGCTCAGAGATTTATTCGTTTTAATGTGTTTTTCAGTGCTTGAGAACTCCCATAGAGGAGAGAAACTGCTACATCATGAATTTATATATCTACCTGTACATATAAATTAATACTTACGTACGCTCACATATTTAGCCACATCCTGATCGACATATGTGGTAGGGCTGTTTTCCATACCCAATACCAGTAAATCTATTGTTTTCTTTGAGCAGAAATATGTAGCAGACTTCTACTTATCAGATTTCCAGTCTGGGTTAAGGGCATTAGTAAAAGCAGGCTACGGTGCCAAGGTTTGTCCTTTTGTGAAACCAGCCACTGTAGTTGAAGTAACAAATGACAACAGAGAGTTATCTCCAAATTTCTTAAGCTGGCTCACAGACCGTAAACTTTCGAGTGATGACCGCATAATGCGCCTCAAGGAAGGGTATGAATATATATACCATCCTGTGACCATTAAGCCTCAGTTCATTGATTCATGTGTGATTGCTCTTTCATACTTAAAATGTAAAGTTGGGAAATTTTAGGTACATCAAAGAAGGAAGCACCGTAAGTGTGATGGGAGTAGTTCGTCGACACGATAATGTGCTCATGATTGTTCCATCACCAGAGCCCGTGTCAACAGGTTGTCAATGGGTCCGTTGTCTTCTGCCTATGTATGTGGATGGTCTGGTTGTCACATGTGATGATAATCAAGATGCTGACGTTGTTCCTGTCTAGAAACTCCGCTTGTCTTTTGCTTGCAAAGCTTGGGATCACAATGCTGAAATGGCAGAAGCTGGAGAAAGGCTTTTGTTTCAGAATCAGAGTTTCCTTCTTCCCGGAGTTCGTGTAAATCGGCTTTGAAACTGCAGAGAAGCATGCTGATGTGGTTAATGTGATGTATAAAGACGCTTAACAAGATCCGTTCACATCCGCTGCAACTAGCAAGGAGCTTGAAAAAGATGCTCATTTTCTTTTTGTTCATATTATGTATATAAGTAGCTCGTGTTTCTTCTGTTAATTCTTGCTTCTATGTACTGTTGTTGCTAATAAAATTTAAAGTGTTAATGGTTAAGTATGAGTTTGGTAGTGTCATTATCAATTATATATACGAGGGTGGAATGAGAAACCCCGTTATTATACTATTTTTTTTTTTTTATGTAAATATTGATTTGTTTTTATTTTACAAATATGTTTCTCATCTCGAATTGTGTTATTTATTTAAAAAAGGGTTCTGATTTCCTGCTCTAACTTGGACTGAGTTATTAATTTGTTTTCTTTGTAGATATAAATAGTGTCTTCTAATATTTAACTGAAATATTCCTTCATATAACAATGTGTTTCATCCAATTTTTCAAAAAATTATTTATTTTATGCAATACTGAAATATTAACATTTTTTAAATTCTCATTTTTTTCCTAAAAATTTTATATGAAATATTCTTTTTTAACTCGTTTTTTCAGTTTATTAAAAGCATCATTTTTAATTATGCTTTTTGCCACAGTTTGTAAAACATCTCGAGACGAAAATCTTGGAAGAGGAACAGATGGAGGAGTATTTATGATTAAATTATCAAAAATATCCTTATTCAATTTGTTTTGAATAATGTAGACGATGGAGGTAACCATAATTAAAGGATAATTTTGGAAACATTTTTTAAAAAAATAAGTTGTGAACTAATTTTAGCTTCTTACCTTAATCCACATAATGTAATTAAATGGGATATTAATGACTAAAGAGGGTATTAATTAGTACTCCTTCCGGTTCAAAATATAAACTAAATTATTAAAAAATATTATTAAAAACTAACCTTTTAAAAAAATTTAGTTTATATTTACGCCGGAGGTAGTATCGTCTAAGCTTTCGCTTCATTCTCTGCAAAACTGTTGTAAATACTTCTGTTATCAATATATCTCTTTATTCAAAAAAAAAAGAAAAAAGGAGAGTATTAATTACTCTCTTGTTAAAGAAAGAGGGCAAACTGATACGTCAAACAACGTATAGGCACAAGATCACGAATATAAATGAATCCAACCATTCGATACAACCTAGAGATGGGTTGCATGCTAAGAATAAATTCAAACAGTTTAGTGACAAAAAAGGCCACGAATGAAGACACAATTTCTCAGCTCCTCGTTCGTTCTTTTTTTTTTTTTTTTGGCCTGGAAGCTCCTCGTTCTTCAATCATAAGGGTTTCTAAACTTCTTCAAAAGCTCAGGAATCTCATATCCAAGCATGTCGTCGACAGCTTGTATCATTTTAGGCTTTAGTTTCTCAAACTTGTCAATGCTGTATCCATTCAGGACCTCCCTGAAATGCTCTACGTTCGGAAAGTCGCCAGCAGGTAGGTGAAACTCCCTTTGAACCTGTTTATTATTGAGTAGTTAAATAATTCGCAATAATGAGATTGAATTGACCAAGAGAAATGAAGGTACAGGACACAAACCTTTCCAAATTCATCTTCAAGATTATCAATAAGCCTTTGTTGAGCCTTAGCTTTGCCCATCATCGCAGGCATTTCTTTCTTTAGATGACTAATAATGTACGCATGCATCTTAGCAGCTCTAGCACGTTTCACAAATTCGTTGATCTGCATTACATTCCAATTCCAAATCCAAATCCAATTATACTTGTATCCTTAAATGAAAGTAATATACTTGACAATTAAAATTGTATGAAAAATCAGGTTGTGTGGTCTAATCAAAATAGTGCGTCATATCATACCCGGCGATCACAAGCTTTTTTAGGAACGTCAACCAAGTCTGCAAGTAGATCATTTTGTTCCTTCTCAAAGAGTTCTACACCAAATGGGCCAGCGAAGCCTTCCTTTATGGGCTTATCATTGAATGAGCTATAAGGTAGGGAAAAAATAAAAATTAAGTAGTGAAATTCATACACCGAAAAAAACATTAAATTATGAGAGGCGTGAACAAAATGAATACCATAACCCTAAAAACTCTTTAGGGCAATATATGATGTGAGGACCATGTTAACCTCCCGAGGATACTACCTCCTCACCATACATCCTACATGTGAAGTGAATGGCTCTTTATATAAATTAGAGCCTTCCATTGAGTGAGTGAGAAATAACTTACTCTGCTTATTGACCAATATTCCAACAAGAGGGCACTCCAAATATGATAAGAAATCAAATTGAGAGGCATCTGGACATACCATCAATTCAATGCACTTTTAACTAAAATGCTACGATAATAACAAGTCTTATCCCACTAGATAATGTTGGCTACATGGATTACACAACTGTGAACTGCCATTCAACTCTGTTAACCACCAAAAATCTTTAAATAAATTGTTTACTTAGAGGTCTGGCTCAATAACTGATTGATGTTACCATTATTCAAATAAATTTTTGGCATGAGAATGGATGGATATAGCTAAAGCCATTAGACATCTAACGACAGACTTACCCAATGTAAACACGCGTAACTTCAGGAGTATTCAAGACTTTACCCAAAGACCACATCAATGCTCCATAAACTCTCATGAGCTACAATACAGCACAAGGCTCATAGTCAGACACCATATTAATAAGGCCCGGTCAAAATGAATTAAGCTGCAGATAACTAACGCGTTACTTACTTGTTGAGTATCGACCTGATCCGCTTTATTCAAAACCACACGAATTTTGTCATCGTGGCCACGTAAAGACGAAATTACACGTTTAAATTCGTCACTGATATCAAGTTTATGAGGATCGAATAGGAGAAGAATGAGATCACATTTTGCAGCAAACCAGGATATAACACCAGTGAAATCATAGCTTCGTTGAGTCCTTTGTTTCTCACCAGATAGGACACCAGGGGTGTCCACAAATGTGATTTCATCTAAAAGCTGAGAGAGTAAAAAGTCGCTTCATAAATGGCAAAATTTTAAAACTAAGAAGTACAATGCCTAATTCAGAGAATCTAAGAAACTCACTGGGTGTGGCAACTGAGAACATTGGAACTTTGATAAGAATGATCCTCCAAATTTTGTTAAACCACTAAAAGGCATATCAGCATCAACAGCTATGGTATTTCCAGGAACACTCCTCTCATCAGGTCCCGACTATAAATAAAAGGATATTGTTTTAATCATCACATAAAGGTATGAGTTCAAACACATTAAGTATAAGACAATCTGCGCTTTGTTGACTACTAAAGGTAATGGAAAAACACCAGATGCTTGTTATACCATGACAACAACAAATCTGTCAGTTGTAGGCTCGGGTCCAATGTGCGCTCCTGATCAACGAGAAGTAAAAAATTACATTAGTATGGTAATTTTATTATTGAAATAATTCATAATGAATCTTTTTTAAGATCGTGTAAAGTTAACCAACCTGGATAATCACATCTTAACAAATGTTTTATGAATGTTGTTTTTCCGGTGGAATATTGACCAAGAAGCATGACCATGGGTTTAGCATCAAAATCGCTATTGGTCTGAAAATGATAAATCACAAATACCCGCAAACTTAACAATATCCTATTACCACCACTAGGTTAGAATAGTGTTTTGTCCATTAAATAACAAAATTTAGCATCTTGTACTGATAGGCGAATGCCACTTACCAACAAGGGAGACTCGAAATCATTAAAACGGTAAGTGACCTCCAGTGGCTTAAGCCTCTCAACGTACAATCTCTTCAAACCATCAATTATAGATGTGATTGACTGGAGAGGTAACTGAGAAAAGAAAATACTTATATGATTTATTATGAAAGTAAATGATCTCAAATCAAGCAGGTCACTTATTAAATCTTAAGAAAATACACATTATCCAGAGTAAAATCGGATAGGAACCGAAATATGCCAACCAAGCATTGAAGGCTGATATATGGCTTTAATCAAAACCACAAAATGATGGGAAAATAAAGAAGGATCAAGTGGGATGCACCTTCTTTAAGGATTTTGATTTTGACGCGAGCCGAAGAGTAGGTGGCAACGGTTGAGGCTGAGCTGCGCCTACATTTGATCAATGAAGTAAATTAATCAGTTGTTAATTAAACAATGCAATGCCGTATGTTATGAAAAGAATAATGTATGTTACCATTTATTTCTGGTTGGGTTTTGATCGTTAAACTCTTAGTTCTCTGAAACCAGAAAGAGGGGAAAACGAAAAGGAGGACGAGGAAGGTTATAAGTCATCCACTGAAATAATAAAATCTAATTAAGTACCAAGAGAGATAAACAAAACTTAGTACTTACTTCCAGCAAAGCATCAATTCCATCCATCACTGGAGGTTTAATATTTTCCTTGTCAACTGTAACCAACAGAAGCGAAATAGGTGGATCAAATGGTGGGAATGAAAAGATGAATTTAGTATCAACGATGACAAGAAATTACAACAAGCAAAAGAGCCATTTCTTTGAAGCGAATCCAAATTGATACAAATGGGAAATACTTCAAGTTTCCGTCTCCCAAGATCATTATCTGGTTGATTTGTCAATTCTAGAAGAATGAACGAAAACAGAATTTGTAACATCTCCATGCTCTTTCAATGTTCCATATAATTTGAATGTCGAATACTTCTTTCCTTAGAGAAACCTTTCCAAACTCTCTCCCGTGAATTAATCAGGAAATGGATGCACAGTATCAAAAGACCTTATTTCTGCATTGTTAATTTTGACAGACAGACACATCTAAAGGAATTAATCAACTTACTTTCATTTTTAAGGATATCTGAGGTCAGTTCATATCCTGTTTGAGCCAGGGCAACAAGCTGTTTGATGTCAGAAGCATAATTTCAATGTCAGATTCTCATATAAAACCATACCGTATGGAGGGGGGGGGGGGAGAACTTCAAACACACAACAACCTGCATCGCGGTAACAAACTCCGTGAAACCCAAGAACCCTTGTCTTTTGGTATCTGCGATTGCCCAAACCTAAGAGATACAAACAATATCAGTTATTGTTCGCAAATTAATTCGTGAAACATGCTCAGTTAACAACTTATATGAACACCGAAGAATGATTCATAAAACAATAACTTAGAAACCAAAACATCATTAAACAGAGTTGATTCGGAAATGCGCAGCAATTACAAAATCAGTGAAGCTATAAACCTGTTTAAGTTGAGAACGAGATAAATTGGACATTGCGAAGAACTTGGTGGCATCATTACCAGTGATACGGCCATCTCCATCTACACATCAAAAGAAGGGAAAAGAAGTCGATACAGTGAAGGAAATTGAAATACCGCTGATGCGTTAACATAAATAAAATAAAGCAGGAATAAGAGGAGGAAACCTGAATCGGCCAAGTTAAACCATTCCTGGTAGATCTTCGTCTGCTCCTTCGAACACGAACTGAGCCAGTCACTCCCAGTCATCATTTTTCAACTTTGAATAAACTCTACTCCTCGGAACTTCAAGAAGCTCTTCGAATGAAGAACGTTTATAGATGATTCGTTCTTCAATTTTCAAAACGTTGGCCTCCGCGCAGAGATCGAGCTTTGCTATGCTGCGCGGCCAACCATGATTAGAATCGTGGGCGTGATTTTGACGGGAGATAAACGTGTCAAAACGAAGGGTCCTTTTGGGCTTATAACGATGGTTCCTGGACCGTTACAGATTTGACGCCTGTGCGGCTGTTAGCGGGTCCCACTGGATAACGTTTTGGTTCCGGTGCTTACTGTTTAGCCCAATTTGAATTGAGCTTTTTAAACTTTTAAATTAGAGCGCCAGTACGAGGCGTCAGTTACGAGAGTGGGACCCATTCTGGCCCTACCGAACTGGTTGGGCTCCACTTCAAAGATCCAAAATAAATAAAAAATTCCGAATAATTTCCATAAATTAAGTCAACAAGTTTCATATTAAATTTTGTACAGTTTAAGATATTTTTAAAAATAAAAAAGGTAAATGTAAATAATCAAGATTAAAATCGAGAGATAATTTGACTTTTTTTAATCTTTTTTTACTGTGTGAAACAAATTTCGGTGTTCAACATATTTTTTTGCCTGTGATTATTAACAACAATAAATGAAAAAGCAGAATAATTAATGAGGATCTTTGGCAATGAATTGTGGTTAGCTGTCATCCATACGGAGCTTTCATGTGTTTCCCGCGCGCTAAATGTCTAAAACGGTCAAAATCAGTTCCTCACCACGTAATGGAACCATCTGACGTCAATCATAAATCTCTTTACTGGGAATAACTAAACCGAAAACTTCATCAAAAATCGTGGCGCGTCTGGTGTGCCCAAAAGCGACGGGAAGGGATGAGAATAAAAATTTTAATGAATTTAATTTACAAAAAAAAAATCTCACAAAAAAAATTATGATTACAAATAACAACAAATTTTTATTGATTTAAAAAATTCAATTTTTATAAAAATTCTTTGTTTGAGATTTAGTAATTTTCAAATTTTTTTGGTGAAAATTTTTGATTGAAGAACAGGATTAATAATTTCCAATTATTTTTTATATTCTTTTATCTTGCATTCTTTCTTCATTAAAATTTTATAACTCTTTTTATTTATCTTTTTTAAATCCAGCTCATTAAATTTTTTTTTTAATTCTCGTTCCTCCATTACGCGAATGAATTTAGGGGAGTTTTGTTTCATGGGATAAAAAGCAGGTTGAAAGTTGTATCAATCATTTTGCTGAGAAAAAAGTTGGTATCAATCAATAAAATTTTTTTCCAGATACTAATCATGGGTTTTGAATATAGATTCTTGTAGGATATGAATTATTTGCACCCTAATTGAACCCATTTTTGTTGACTGGTTGGATGCAATCACCTTGCGTTTTGACTAATTTATTTTTATGGAACAAAGGATAGAACTGGGTCAAGCTTGACATATGCTTAGAGTTTTGAGGCTTCGACCTTATGTGCTTGGGCCTAGCCCAATAGAAACTTTTTTCAGGTCCAGGATTTTTTTTTGGTTACCCAACCAATTCACTGGAGTTTTGTTCGGATTATATCTGCATCCGACCCGCATTGCGCACCTAGCTGTAGTGGGTAAGTCTTCCAATGAGGATTTCTACATATGCAGTGGCTCGAACTCAAGACTTTACTTAAGCAGTACCAAGCTACTTATCACTTGGACCAACCTCTGTTGGTAGGTCCAGGATTTTTTAAATTTCTTTAGAAGACATACAGGGCTAAAAGCCCAAAATTTTAATTTATGGACTGAAGTGGCATGGTCAACAAAAGATTCAACGATTAAAACAATTGCAAAGAACAATATGCAAGTTGTAAATATTCAAGACCAGAACATCTAGGCAAAAAAGGGAAGAGAAAAAAGAAGAAAATTAAAATATATAATAGTGCAAAAGGATGATTATACATGAAGGCTTGTGCGGATCAAAGCAGACTATAGCAGCCCCACGCTCGCTTGTTTTCACTTGAAAAAGCAACAATACTGCATTTGTATCACAATGTCAAATATAGAAGACATACTTTAGTACTCTTCCGATCCCTAATATAGGACTCAATTGTTGAGTTGGTTTTGGTCCTAAATATAAGACCCATTTCTCATATTTATCAATTTTCTCTACATTACCCCTATAGATACTCCTTCAACCATAATCAAGTAAAAGAGGGAGAAGAGGTATTAAGAAAGATGATTATGGTATTTTAGGAAAAATGTGTCACATTTCTTATAATTAACTAATTTACCTAACTTCCTTAATCTAATCAAATTAGTTAAATGGGTCTTATATTAAGGACTAGAGGAGTAAAAGAAAAGATTATATATATTAATAAAGCAAAATTTGGGGGGAAAAAATCAAGATGCACACATCAATGTAGCCTGGTTAGAAAGCATGTTTTGTGGAAAGAAAAATATTCATGACGTGGAATTTGGATTCTCTGCCAAAACTAGATGACATATTTTATTTTGCTTTTACTTTTAAAGTTTTCATATTTTTCATTTCAAAAAGAATATGACATGAAACCAAAAAATATCTATAGTTTTTAATCGCTCAATTTTCTTTTAACTATTAATATCCTCTTTAAAATTTGATTTAAAATAACTCAATCTTTGTAATTTAATGAGTTAACAAATTATAATAACCGGATGAGTAAGAATCAATTTGTTTTGTTTTTGTTTTTGTTTTTTTTGTTTTATACAACGGAAGGAAAGAACTAACTTGTTTTGACAGGAAAAAAACTAAAAAAAGAAAAAGAATTATCTTGAATAGAAATTTACTAAATTAGCTAATGTTTAACCCTAAACCTAGTCTTCTTAAATGTTGTTCAATCAATATTGTTCCTTCAGGCCCAAAGACAAAAAAATCAATATTGTTCCTTCCTTTCTTGTTCCCCAGATAAAGTGCAGCACGCATGGCTATGTATACGAGTATATAAAAATTAGTGTTAAGGTTTAATTTTATATTACAAGCTTTTGTATTTGAAAATATTTTCGGATAACCCTCCAAAAATATTAAAAAGGAGCAAATTCTTCGTAACAGTTAAAAAAATTAACGTTTATTATTAGAAGGTTAATAAAAAGTTAGCTGCAGAGGTAACATTACTGTTTTTTCAATACTGAAATTTAACCCTTTTTTTTTTTTGAGCTGAGAAATTTAACCTTAATCCTAATAAATTGTTTATTAGAAATTGAACGGATTACCTTGGACCTGGGGGTTTTAGGGGAAGGCCCGTGACGTTGATTAGGCGCATTTGAGAAATGAACAGGTTGTGGAGGCGCATCAGGGTGGTGACCAGGCTCAGCATGCTTCTCTTGTTTAAGCTTGCTGAAGATCACTGTGAAACTTTCTCCTGATTTTGGATCTTTTTCATCCCACTCACCAAATTTTGGTATTGCTTTTACCTTCTGATTCTGCAGTTCAAGTGATCCACCACTTCAAATCAGAGTCGCCCGTGCTTTTTTTCAGCATTCATAATCATTACCAGAAATTTCTAACAAGCAATCATTTTCAATCCTATCCATGTTATGTTTATAATCTTTCAGATTTCAAAGTGATGTGATATTTGGAACAACGAGATGCTTACTTCGGAGTCACGAGAAGAATGGCTTCCACTCCCCGGTCGATGATGGCTTGAGGAAGAGAAGCTACCGGTGCGGCCAACACTACCTCCTTTTGATGTGCTCCTTTTGTTCTCGCGTCTCTGTAACACAGGGTGATCGGAATGGTTACTTCTCGAGCTCACAGACTCTGGTGTGAAGCTCCCATAGCTTTCCCTGCTCCTCTGATGAGGAGGGTTCCTTCTACGGCTGCTTCTTCCCAACGAGCTGTTCGAATTGCGGGAGAGGGAGCCGTCGCTTCCTCCGGTGGTGGCGGTGGATCCCGTCAAGAAATTGAAGGCCTTTGGGTTTTGCTCTGGGTCGTTTGGGTTAACCATCGTCAGCGAATTCAAGTCTTTCTCTCTGCGTGCAGTCTCGAAGTATGCTGTGTACTGCTCATCGTCGGCGTCCCAATTCCCGAACTTTGGCACGTGGGAAGGATGCTGCACATTACATGTTTGAAGAAATGCTTGTGAGAGGATGAATCGGAGCTTATCAAATGAGGGTATATATCTGAGGCATTCTTGTGAATGCTCACAAAAATTACGGTGTTCTTACAATCAGGTGATTTGGTGTTTTTTCCCCCATAATCATGTAAAATATGAAGGTACAAAGAAGAACCAAAATCAATCTAAGTAAGGGAAAGGAGGTTGATTCGATATGCATTTCAACATATGGCATGTGTAGAACAGATCGAGACTGGAATTATGTCGTTCCCAAGTCCCAAAAATAATTAGGAACACTTACCGCCATTAATTAGGAGATCGTTTCTCCTGTGTTTTTCCCAAGTCTCTGCAATCACGAATCGTTGGAGGTAATGTTTCTTTGTTGAAGAGAAATAATGAAAGGGAACAAGTGACTTAGCCAGCAACAAGGGAGGAGAAAGGTAGCCTGAATCTTGACTCTAGAAGTGAAGACACGCACTGCAAACAAATGCTTGATACTTTCGAAGCATTCTTATGAATGCCCAAAGTCGACGTCCCTTTCTTGTAGCTGATCAGGAAACGGATGAATATTCGGAATTTCTTAACCTGAGCTTTGTTTTTGCCATTTTGTTATGTTGTTTTTGTTAGTACATGTCTCAACCCCACGCATTATATTCCAGCTTCTTCCAAGAGTGGTATTTACGTCATATATAATTATACTGCAATTGTGGGGTTACTGCATTATGGCTTCCTTTACTTCCACGAGAGCCTTGTTTACAAAAATTCCAGATAAAATATAAAATCATCATCATGGGAATCATATAGGGATGTAGGAAAGCAAAATTTGTTTCCATCTTCACAAGTCAGGTGGGGGTTAAATCCAGAAGAGATTTGGTTGAATTGGCCCCTTCCACGATTCCATGGAAGCAATCCAAAGCAAATATACGGCTGGATTAGCTCCTTCCATTTTTGTTGGATCACACATGAGAAATACTCATGTCTGAAGGATACATTTTATTGAATGAATAAATAATCGTGCCCGTGCATGTATGATATATTGCCCAATATTTACAGCCTCGAGCCTCAGAAATACTGCATAAAAAATATATATATATATATGTATGTATGTGTGTGTATATATATATATATATATGAATATATGACAACTTAATAAAGATTCGCCCAACTAACTCATAATATATGTAGTACTATCTCATGATCTTAATACAAAAATTAGATGATTAATTTGTATATATTAAGAAAATTATTTAAATTAATTACTTATAATAAATATGTGTTACTTTTTCTAAAATAATTTTTTTTAATCATGTGCATTGTAATTATTTTTTTATGTGAATTCCCTTACTATATGTAATTAATAAGGACACTTTGGATAAAAAATTATAAATTTGAAAAACAAAGTTGATTGGAATCCCATATTTAAAATTAAAGTAAACCTCTTACCTAGTTATTATATTTAAAATCAAAAGTAATAACATTTATCAAATTTCTATTCTCAACACTTCCCCTCGTTGGTAGCAACCTAATAACATTTCATGATGCCTTATTCTTTCGTCAATATGATAGGTTACAAAGGGACGTATGCTTCTCGCCTCTCGCTCAAGTGGTCCAAGTTGATTGCCTGTTCTTCCTCTCAATCAATTTTTGAATCAAGCATTAATCTCACATTGCTACCAAATATGTTTGACTGCTGTTGTGGCATTCATTTCAGTCTTTACCCTTTTAAAAAGCTTAATTACCTCTTTGGCTCTTAAAGCATATGAAGGTTTTGCGTTTATCTTTAGTTTCATATGAAGATTGCCAATGCAATGAATGAAACAAAATATACCTCTGAATCTTTTAGAATTATTCGTTCTAAAGTCCTTGCAGAATTAAGAGAAAAAAGGGACTATAGAAAAAATCTCATATATATTACTTTCTTATGTCCTATATATAAAGCCCTATTAAGAACTTTCTCATGTTTAAGAAATTTAGTTAAAATGACTTAAATAATTAAATTTTTTTACAACTTTAAAAAGTTATTCTTCGATTGGTATAACTTATTGGACAGAGGATTGAAAGATCATTATAAAGAGACAATTATATTTTCAGAAATTAGTTATAGATCTTCCATTAAATTTTGTAAAACTTCTTGTATTAAAGACCAATAAGTATGATTTTAAAAATAAAAATATTCAATCTCAAAACAATAATTAATCTCTCTTTTTTACACGACAAAATGTAGAGATCATAAGCCTAGCACAAAATGCGCACTATCCACTCTCATCTCAAAAGATTGGGAGGTGCAATCAAAAGACACAAAAATTTCAACAAAAAATTATAATACAAATACCAAGACACTGAGATCCAACTGCACAAGTGGATCTGAAAATTTATAAAATTTTTCTTGTCGAGATCGAGCATCATAGCACTTCCTTTCTGTGTAATCTGTATAATCTATGCGTACCTAAACACCGATTGTCTTGTTGAGCAGCCAAAGGCAAAGAGCCAATTGAATGGCAAAAATGGAGTGGAGCCACGTTCTGTCAAGCATGAACCCATACACTGTGATTCCTGCTCTGTTGTTCTCCATGTATGTCACTGCATCAAAACCAACTAGCTCATAACTCAATACCATTAATAATTTTATATCATCTAAGTTTGATTTAATTATTACAAAAACAAGGACTCAGTTACATAATTAAGACCCGTAAATATAGAAGCTCCTGCTTCTCCAAACTATACTGCCCAGGTTTTACTTACGTGAGGAAAAGTGAATTAAACCACTTTTAATCAGTTCAGCTTACTTATCTTTTATAAACTAAATATAACTAAGAATCACCGTAATTAAACAGAAAACAAGCAAAAGTCATCATTATTCATCAGTAGATTCCAGCATACCTAAAGCTTGCCTCTTGTGGAAAGATATGGTGTGGGCGTAAATTGGGACCAACTTTGTGTTATCCAGCTCATCCTCTTCATCTCCCACCTCATCTTCATCTGATCCCAAAAGAGCATTGGCATCTAAAACTGGAGTTGAAGCTATCTGTTCCGGTACACGTGGCGTCTCGCCTTCATTGTCAAATGAATTTATGGTTGCGCATATGTGCCATTTTGCAGCTAACCCAGTGGTGGATTGTGCTTTATGCGTGATCTTTGTAGCACTTCTTAATAGTATGTATAGCCCACTCACCAGGGTTATGGAGACTAACTGCAACATTGTCATAATCAAAGGGCTTGCTTAGCAAATTATAATTTTCTTTTAATCCATCTGAAGGAGCAAATATCCCTAAATAAAGCAACAGCTCAAATATATATACCCTGATGAAGCTAAAATAAGAGAATGAGAGGGAATTCTGAGCATGTTGGTTATAAAGAGTTTTAACATCATGTGAAAGAATATAACTCAAAGTAGTGTCCTAATGGAAGTTCATTAAAGAAGATCATACCGCAAGCTCGCCAGCCCTGAGGATGTCAACATCAGCACCAGTTCTTGTAGTCATGAGCAGGAAAATGAGCTGGCTTGCAGTGACCAAAAGCAGAGAAGACAAAATGAAAAATCGGAAACGATGGCTAATGATGCGGAGGTTCCTTCTATGTTTCAGGTGCTCCACTAAGATGGACGCAACTTCAGTTTCTTTCTGGAAAACTTGAGCAAATTCTTCCAGTTTGAGTATTTCCAAGCAACAGATGAGCCGAAAGAAGACGCAGACCAAGAAGAAAATGGAGGTCCGATAAAGCCAAGAGAACAGCTCAAGAGCGCATAGCACGATGGCGCTCACGTATATGTTTCCGTAATATGGCAATTCGGACGCTCCTGAGGCAAACCACCATATCTTGTAGGCACATTCCGCTAAGAAAGAGGGAAGCCCCCAAAGCAATATTAGCTTCATGGTTCTCTGCAAGACACATGCCACACCAAATGTGAAATGTAGACATATTGACACGTTAATTTTTGTGTTTACTTAAAAATTTCAATTTTAAGAGGATATAAAATTAAGAATGTTGTAAAAAAAAATATGAACTTTGGGTAAAATTAGGAATAAAATAAAAAAAATTTTGAATAAGGAGAAACCGTTGGGCATCATGCTTTAGTTTTGAATTGAAGTTTTAAATTATATTAATAGATAGATATTAATTACAATATAATCTAATAATATTTTTTTTGATGTATTCTAATTATTTATGTACAATAAAGATGCCAAAGAAATAGCCCTGTTCTTACCCAAAATAGAAAGAAAGAAAGAAAGAAAGAAAAAAGAGTGAAAAAAAAAAACCACCGTATTCATACTTTCCATTTTTCCTTTGGCTGTTAGCTTTTGGAGTTGAAAAATACAACTTTGACACACTCGCAGTCTTGGACGCTGTGGCCCGCTGTGGCCCAAAAAAGAACAAGCGCCGCAAAGTATGTGTCTGTTCTGTTACTTCACAAAACAAATTCAAAAGTTGTTTCCTGTTTTAAGGTTAAAAATTCCCCTGATTGTGCAGTGAATAATCCAGGGAGAACGAAGATTCAAAATTGCAATGTTGAGTCCGAATCCATCGTCCTCTCCATCCTCAGATTTCTCAGCGCAAGTAATCGAATCGAAGATAATTTTGTTCCAAAATTAAAAAAAGAAATCGCAGATAATTGGTTCTGAACTTCGATCAAACACGAAGAAGGCACAAGGAAGAAAAATAGAATCAGAGAATCAAACCTGAAGCTGTTCAGCGTATCCTTCTTGTATCTTATCAGCCTCGTAGATTACTTTATCCAGAAACAGAAACCTCCTCAAACCGTACTTGCGATCCCATCTAGAGAGGCAGAGGAAGGAGAGAGTGGCGAACACTGAGAGAGAAATCTGAACGGGTATGTGATAGGGGCGAGTATGATCTGAATCGCAGTCGGGACACAAAAGAAGAAAGTGCGATAAAAGAGGAATAACGAATGCGACGACGAAGAACACGGTCCAGGAGACAGCAGCTCGGCAATAGTTGGAGTGATCGACATACACCCATCGGAGGTACGATCTAAACTTCCTTAATTCGGGTCCTTCGTGATCGAAGAAGTCTGAAGCTTGCTTGGTTTTCGGGAGAAAAACTCTGGTTTCATCTTCCATAGCCTGGGAAATCTGGGGAAATTTGTACTGATCAGAGCTCGGAAACCAGATGAACACATGTAAAGCAGAAAGCAGAGGGTTAAGAAGAGAAAAAGATGATGATGATGATGATTTGGCTGGTTGAACCAGAGAATATAGAATTTATGTAAATGGATGCAGTCACTGTTTGTCAACTATAAAATCCTCTTTCTAGCTGTAAGATGTCCCTACCCCAAAAAAATCACCGGTAAAATAAATTTTGAAGTTCTTGAACTTTTCTGCGAGAGTTTGAGCTGGGCATGTGTGGTTATCCCAATTGGATGAAGATCTAACAATACTTTAATCTCTTTAATTATCACTGTCAACTAATTGTCTCCAGGCTGATCTCAACTCTTAAAAGGAAATGAAAAATAAAAAAATGAAGCTGGGAGATAAGTATCTTCAAGCTTCAGTTTCAAGCATCATCCAATGGACGATTGATAAATCAAGCATCCCCTTCATTCATTTGTATAAGCACACATTAATTTCTTTTGACCAAGAAGGATGGATACACTGATGAGTAGCGGTTAAAAACTTGATATGAATTAATTATTGTATTATTAAATTTGTTGTAATTTTGCGATTAGGTGGCTTCAATCAACATGGCAAAATATTATTGATTAGATTGATAGTGATGTTGGTGATTCTGATGTTCATTTTACCTATTTTTTACAGATATAAATAAAAAAAATTATTTTGAAAATGTTACTCTGGTCTTGTTTATAAACTGTTTTCAGTATATTTTATATAGACTAAGAAAAATCTTAAAGTTTATTAACTTTCATTTAAAATTCAATAATTATTTAATTTCATATTTATTTAATATATATTATATCTCATATAAACAAAGTCAACATAATACTACCTCCGGTCCTAATTATAAGACCCAGTTGACTAATTTGAGGAGATTAAAGAAAGAAGTTAAGTTAGTTATTTGTAATAAATAGGTGTTATCTTTCCTAAAATATCCTTACTAATCAACTATATTGGCTAGAACTATAATTATTAGAAGGACTATCTTGGAAAAAAAACATTAATATGAGAGATAAAGTAGATTGGGATCTTATATTTAGGACCAAAATGAAAATCAAACAGGATCTTATATTAAGGACCGGAGGTAGTAATAAATAAGAAGTAAAATTATACATTTATACAAAAAAAAAATTCTTACTACCCTATAACTATAATTAAGACTAAAAAATATTTTTGTCTTTCTATGCTATAAATAGGATTAGAAGAATATCACTGTTGGTAGATATCCAAATAGAAAAAAAGTTGAGTTAGGTGAGAGGTGAATATGGGAATGTTTGGATGGAAACCAATCTATAGTTTTAAAAGTGCTTTTATAGTTTACGAAGTAAATATGTAGAGTAATTTATTTTATTGTGTAAAAAAAAATACTTTTTAAAAACACTTTTGAGGGTTCTCAAACACTTCCTATATCAAAGTTAACGCAGGATACTTATTTGACCTGCCTCTTCTTTTCTCTCTTTTCTTTTTTGGGCCAATAAGCCTCTCCTCTTTAAAAGATTCATAATTTGTTGGGTTGCCGGCTACTTGGCCTGTTGTCTTTGGTTAGTGTGGGATCATACGTGGCTTATTCTTAAGATCTCCGATCAAATTATATGAACTTTTCTTGTTTTTGAAGGAATATTTTTTAAAAATTAAAATGTCGTAATAGACTAATAGTAGTATGATTAATTTTTACATGCATAAAAATATGCTTTGTGGGAATTATGTGGAATGAATGTGATTGACCGGGGAAAAAAAAAAGCCAAGAAGAAGAAATGAATGTAGCGTGAATACTACATTGAAGTGACTAGCTTTAAAACATTATGTGTATTAATGGGAAATAAACAAAAAAAAGGAAATCATTGTCGTATCCTTGAAAAAAAAAATTAGTCACCTAAAAATTCACTGAATACCGTATAATAACAAGTTTCAGTGTACATAATAAGAAAAGTTTCGTGTCATTGGGATTTTTTTATAACTAAATCATTTTGACTTGATAGTAATTCTCTCAAGAAAAAAAATGAGATTGCATATTTTTATTTTTTAAATTTATATAGTATATTATATAAAGAATACCTAAACAGTGATAAATACAAGATAAACAATTAAATACAACCCCCCCCCAAAAGCCCAAAAAAAAAAACAAATTAGCACCTAAAGATTTTTGTGCGAACTTGCAAGAGCCTCACATCATCCACGCGGCAATCAACGAAAATGCGAGATGGGTTGGAGGTGGGCAGGCAATCTGTTCTCTGACCAAAAAATGGAAAAGCAATCTGTTAATAATTTCATGAATACGTTTAACACGGCCAATCCAGATAGCTAATTAGATTGATTTCTTATACAACCTCCAGTTCTAATTATAAAAACTACTTAAATAGTTTGAAGAGATAAAAAAAATAAGTTAAATTAGTTATTTATAATAAATAGCATTGTCTTTCCTAAAATATCTTTACTAATTAAATGTATTGGTTAGAACTACTATTGTTAGAAGGATTATCTTGGAAAAAAATACATAAATATGAGAGACAATAAATTAGGATCTTATATTTAGGATTAAAATAAAAGTCAAATAAGATCTTATATTAAAGACCGGAGATAGTATTTATAATAAATTTAATCTTTAACTAACTATTATATTTAGCAACAGACAGTAATAAATAAATGTTATGGAAGTTTTACAGTAATTATCAAAGTGAATATATAAAATAAAAAATATAATTTTTCGCAAACATTGTTATTTATAGAGTAAAATAAATACCATGTCTTTTGTGCATCACACAAAATTAAGGAATTAGACCAACCATTAGTAGTTAATAATACTACCTCTGGTCCTAATTATAAGACCCAGTTGACTTATTTGAGGAGATTAAGGAAGTCAGTTAAGTTAGTTATCTGTAATAAATAAGTGTTGTCATTCCTAAAATATCTTTGCTAATTAAGTATATTGGCTAGAACTATTATTATTAAAAGGATTATCTTGGAAAAAAATGTATAAATATGATAGACAAAATGGATTGGGGTCTTATAATTAGGACCAAACAAAAAGTCAAACGGGGTCTTATAATAAGGACCGGAGGTAGTATATAAATAACTAAATCATGGGATGTGCATGGTTCATTGACACTTGTAAAAGAAGCCAATAGAGCCACCTTAAACAAAGGCATATCGCTCACTGCTTTGAATAATGTAACTTGTGATGAAATCTAATACTATCTCTAATTTTTAACATAAGAGTTAGATAATTAGTTTGAAAAGGTTAAAAAAATTAATTAAGTTTTTTTTTTTGAATTATACCTTTCTAATCGTGTACACTGAAAATATTCTTTAGTGACAATCTTAACAAGTTACAATTATTTTTTCAAATTAGTTCAGGGATATAGATTCTCTTTGTCCTTTCTCTTTCATTTTATTTATACTCATTAATTTAGAGTATAAATAGTAAGATGAGTTGGTGGAGCGAGGGAAGAGTGAGGCGCAAGAACAGGGTCCGAAAAAATCGCCTGGGTTGAAGGGCAGTCACTTGCAGAAGACGGCGGTGGGTCGGTGACAGCACACCGCAAATCAACCAATGAGTAATAACTTTGAAGCGGGGCCCATCCAAATTCCAATCCTTTAACATTAAACTCTCCGCCAGCACAGCACACCTGTCGCCCCTCGCTCCTTGCCCTTTAATTAAGCTTTACGCCTCTCCATGCCTTGTCTCTTTCATCCCTCCGCTTATCACCGACCTTCCCCTTGCTTATACACCCAAACGTTTTTCTTCAGTGGTCTCCACTCATCAAAATTTACCCTATTGCCCAATGCCCTTATTCCCTGACCACTTAGTGGGTGTTTAGATTGTCCAAAAACAAATGTTTTTAAAAAAATATTTTTTTATAAATTGAGATAAATTTTTTTAACATATTTATTTTGTATACTATAAAAACATTTTAAAAATTATGACTTTATTTCTATCTAAACACCTCCTAATAATAAGTTCGTTGACTAATAGGAAATCATGGGTTCAATACTAACATAATCTCGAGTTCTAAATACCTACCACGCTAAATTAAAATGAAAATTACAGCAACCTCCAACCTTTTGTTCAATGTCCTCAAACCCTCCTTTTTTTCCCTCGCCAAAACACAGCTGTCTTCACTCCCAGCTCATTATTTATACCTTTTTTTAACTAAAAGACGAAACAAACTCATAATGTCTTAGAGCTAATCTGATCATATGCATTTGTACTGAGTTAACGCAACACGACTCTCCATGTTTTTTTTTTTTAAATACTCCTCAATTCTAAATATAAGTCTCTTATATTAGTATATATAAGGGTCTTATTATGCCCTGGGCGACACACGTGCTACAATGACCGGGACACCTTAATTGATTTTGATAATATTAAATTTTAAAAATAACAATATATTTTTGTAGGAAGTCTTTAGTTGAGATTTAATAACTTGAACGATTCTTCTTCTTTTTAATCTAAATGCTGATATTGAGGAGTGTCATTTTACTAGATTTTTTAACAAAGCTTTTGGGATGCCAGGACCTGTACAAGTGATTGTGGCCTCCTCGTCAATAAAAATTCATAAATCATAAACATATTTGTTGAGCACTTATTTAGAATGAGGACTCATGAAATCTTTAAAAAAAAAATTACTGAAAAATTTTAATGACAACTGAGCAATTAAAGCATATTATCAACTTTTACTGTGAAACTTGTTATTAGGCCTACTCATGGGACGAGACCAGACTGGGATAGACCCCTTCCGGTCTTGTAGGAATCAAGATAGGACAAGACATCTGGTTTTGAGTTCTTTTTTTTTTCCCCACAAACCAATGTAATCTGAGCTTCAATCCTTTTTATGTTGTGATATTTGTTTTTTTATTGAGTTTCTGAAGATGAAAACACTAAAAAAAAAGTAGAAAACCTAATTATATAATTAAAAAGGGTGTAAAAACAATACTATAAAAAAAGAACTATCATAAAAGAAACATTACATAATGATTTTATAAATTATTTTATTGAGAAAAAAGATTTTATTGAGATAATATCACAACTTAAAAACTGAAAATCACTATAAAAATAATTATTTAAAAAAAAGAATTGAATAATCTAACGAGTAACTTAAAAAAAAAAAAATCCTTCGGGGCAGGACTGGACAGGATGACCTTATCTCACGTCTATTTTGTCTCATCCCATAGTTATTTTGTTCCAAAATATTTTTTTGTCCTATCTCGTCTTGTTCTGAATTGATCGGGATCGGGATAATACGGTTGAGACAGGACAAGTTGAACACCCCTACTTGTCATGACAAACTATTCTATTGTTATGACACTTTTTTTATGAATATGTTCTTTTCTTGTGATCTTATTGCAATCCTCTATTTAAAGATAATTTTTTGATTATAATTTAGAAAATATGAAATAAGTATATGAGGAAAATTTTATCGCGTGATTGTAGAAAAGTACTTACTCCTCCAGTCCTTGATATAGAACTCAATTATTGAGTTGGTTTTGGTCCTAAATATAAGACCCATTTTTAATATTTATTAATTTTCTCTAAATTACCCATATAGATACTCATTCAACCATAATCAAGTAAAAAAGGGAGAAGAGGTATTAAGAAATATGATTATGGTGTTTTAGGAAAAATATGTTACATTTCTTATAATTAACTAATTTACCTAACTTTTTTAATCTAATCAAATTAGTTAAATGGGTTTTATATTAAGGATCGGAGAAGTATTTTATTAAGAAGCTAAAATAAGCACTTAATTAACTACCCTCGGGAGTTGTTCAACTGTCTATCCTTGATTTTGCGTCACTCCACGTTAAAACATCAAAAGACCTCCCAGGTCTCACTGCTCATCAATCAACTCATTATCTTCACAAGTAACTTTTTATAATCTTTTTTGAGACACAAAATTAATACTCTTGGATCATTCCTTATTTTGAGTACTCCTTCTGCTGTCGTTTTCCTGCTCTTTTTACCGTCACAAAAGAACGGGGACTTTTTGAGTCCAAAAAAAAAAAGAACGGGGCCTTTTTTTTTTTTTTTTCAAAGGATATAACTCAAGCGGGGCCTTGCAAGTTGCCGAGTCTTTGGGAGTGGAAGCTACTCTGTGTGCGCTGGGTTGAACTGGGCCGGCACTCTCATACTCGGCCCATGGTTTTAGTCCATTGATAGACAAGCCCGCCTTTTTAAATTATTATAATTATAAGGGTTAAGGTGCACCCAGCACCCCGAACTATTTACCCAGCTGCGTCCAGTGGTTTAAAGTAATTTTGGGTGCATCCAATGTCCTAAACTAATTAAAATGGTGCGTCCATATCCCAGGCTAACAGAAATGTTATGTTTAATTGTTACTTTTCTGACTCAGCTTAAAGTTGACCCCAGATATTCTACATGGTAGACACATGGGCATTTGAATTTTGAGTAAGAATAATACACATCGGGTGCCCATGTGTCTACCATTTAGAATATCTGGGGTCAACTTTAAGCTGAGTCAGGAAAGTAACAGTTAAACATAACATTTCTGTTAGCTTGGGATATGGACGCACCATTTTAATTAGTTTATGATACTGAATGCACCCAAAATTACTTTAGGCCACTGGACGCACCTGGGTAAATAGTTCAGGGTGCTGGACGCACCATAGCCCTGATTATAATTATAAATCGCTTTATAATTATCATGTACGGTATGCATTAAGATTTATAAACGCCATCCAAAAACCATGTTTATTTGAAAGTTGTAAATCGTATTTATAGATAAACCATATTCTGTCAGCTCAAAAAAAAAAAAAGAAGATAAACCATATTTTGAAAACCATGACAATATAATTTCAAACATTTTCTTAGAAAATCATAAAATCATAAATCACAAAATACACCGAAAACTGTGTGCGTGCGTCCGTGCGCGTGTTCACTGAAACGACAAGGAGTGTGGGTCGTTTTTGCTGTTGGAGAGATTTTTCCCCTTCGTCTCTTTTTTGGCCGTCTCTTGGAGAGATATTTTCCAGTTTGGACTTCTGACGATTCCGTTTTCATGTGGCCGTTGGTTTGGAGAAGTTGTTGTCTTGCTGCCTATTTATTAAGCCGAAAGAATATACGTCTTTTCTGGCCGCCTATTAGCCAGACTCGCAAAACGACAATCTCCTTCATCGCTGAGAAATTAACATGACTCAAGTGGCTCAGTGCGATACGCTTTGTTCAATTCGAACAATCGACTACTACCTCCTAAGCTCTGATTGATTCACCTCGTTTTCCTTACTGCTCAGGAAAGTGAAGAATGGCGGCGAGTTTCTCTTCTACGGTCTTTGCAGCCTCAATTTCGTCTTCTTCAGCTGCCAAAGCAAGGACTTTGAAGAATTTAGCTCCCGGATACTCGCCGGCCAATTTTCTTCACTCTAATCCCCTATCAACCCGTTCGTCGGTTCCTAGGTTTGTGGGGTTCATCTTTCTTCTCGTGCGTTTTTAATTTCCAAAGCTTGCTCCTTTTATTTGTTCATTCTTATGCGGGATGGGTGGGAAATGAAGATAAAAATATGGTGTGATTTTCGAATTTGAATTATTCTGAATATTGAAAGTGCCCTCAAATTCTACTTTTAGCGGAACTTGAGCAATTGATGCGAAGTGAGAAAGTTTCGTCTTGGTATATTGATATGCATTCTTTATAAGCTCTGCAAATTTGAGATTTTAAAAACTTCGGGCGTTGTATATTGTATTATAGATAAAAAAAGATAATGAGAAGGTAACAGTGGAAGAGTAATTTGCGATTTCTTTCCTTGTGAATATGAAGGGGACATTGCCAGTTCTTAATGTTATATTCCTCCTTTGTTTTGTGTAAATTATAAGAGACTTGATCTCCATTGGTGCATTTCCAGGGTTAGAGCAAGTCTTCTACAAGATAATGAGGATAAAGTAAGGGTAGAAGAGTCAGTCCCGTCCAAGATTTCTTCCACTGATGCCAATCAAGGAAGTAGTGGGGAGTCAAGTTCGAGTTCGCCCTCTAATACATTGGCGAAATGGGTTATCAAACTTGAACAATCTACTAACATATTTCTCACGGTAACAACTCCTTTGTCAATATCTCAGCATGTTGATTTGAAATACCTCCTTCAATCTGTCAATCAGAACATGTGAACAGTTTTGGCTCATTGTTGTGTGATATTATATATTTTTACATATTTTTCATCTTTTCCCATCACATGTTCAACGGGGAATAATGGATTTTATGTCAGTCAGTGATAGTATATTTTGCACTAGGTCCGTCCCTTGATTCTGATCACTGAACAAATGAAAACTAGTTTCTGTTGCTCAAACTTGAGTTATTCATGAGTGAACTAGGGAATGACAAATCATCCTCTTTTGTGTGCTGTTTATTTAGCAAATCGTGAATTCTCGTTCTATGACTCTCTCAGCATAACTTACTGGAAATTCTAGGGTCAACCGCTCAATGATAAATACCATTTTATTTCCAAGCAGATAACATGCATGCACAAGTTATTTATTATTCGTAAAGGCTTGATTGTACTTCACATAGGTACTAGTATGCTTTCATGTTGATAGATGATAAAAGCATACCTTGCAGATGAAGATTCATAATCCCTTCTAATTTTGTCGGATAATTGACTTGCGCTCTTCTAAATGTTAGATTAAATTGGTGGCTAACATTTTCTTTGGCCTATACTGCTTTAGTGCATGCTTAGCCATAAGAAACTGAATTTTATACTGCTATTTATTTTTAACATCCACTAAAATTTTCAGGATTCTGTAATAAAGATACTTGATGCTTTCTATCACGATAGACACTATGCAAGATTTTTTGTGCTTGAAACTATTGCAAGAGTTCCTTACTTTGGTAAGTGGTATTTAATTAGTCTTTTTTTTATTGTTTTTTAAACAAGTAGTGGGAAGTTCGAACTTTTAAACCTTGATCTCTGAGCAAGGATGCTGAATCCTTGCTGTTACGTTTATGTGTTGTCGTGATCATTATTTTGTTTTTAATAATTTATATAATAAAGAACTGGACTTTTGTAAAGTTCTTTTGTTGTTTGTTTCTAAACTCTCTAATAAACACATGACAACATTTATCAGAATTTTTTTTCTTGGGAAGACCTAATTATGAAATGCTGAGCTGAAAGGAAATTCATTGGTCATGCTCTTATTGGAGAACTTGATGGCAGATAACTCAAAAATGCACAAAAGATTGTCCTCTAAAATCACATAAGTGCATGGGTTATCTCAGCTTCCAGTTTTTCTTTTAAAAGACATTCTAATGTTGGGATCAGATTTAATTTAGTGAAAAATACTACAGGAAATTCTATGGACTCTACATCTTAGTCAGTTATCTATTTAATGTAAATGTTGGTAGTCATCATGCGCTGTCATTGCAGCTGTTGATTTGTATATATCTTCATGTATGGCAGCCTTTATATCCGTTCTCCACTTGTATGAGAGTTTTGGCTGGTGGAGGCGAGCGGACTATTTGAAAGTGCATTTTGCTGAGAGCTGGAATGAAATGCATCATTTGCTCATCATGGAAGTAAGATCTTCCGAAAATTTGTATGATCAAAGGAAACTCAAATCATATTGCTGTTGCTATGTCATTTGATGAAACTACCAATACTTGTTCATCCTTGTATCATTCTTATTCAAGGAGGCTTAGTGCTTGGAACATCGCAGTAATTGGATTAAAATGTTGATGCTAGTAAAATGGAGTCAAACAGTACGCGTCCCTTGAAAAAATGATGAAAATATTTATTCAGTAAAATGAAAACCTGTTGAAGTTAATATATTTTTGAGTTTTTGTTATTTGGGTTGGGATATGGATCGCTGAAGTATATCGTTTGAGAAGCTGTTGCTCTGCAGAACTTATCATTATGCCACATGTCTGAAAGATCAATATGACGTGTATCTTAACAGAAAACTGAGATATACACTTTAGGGACAAGTTGCTAGTTTATCTTATTTGCAAACAGGCTTATGCACCTAATATTATTTACAAAGATTTTTTTTGCATGTGAGGACTTAGATGCTTGTTCATCTGATTGCAGGAACTAGGGGGCAATTCTTGGTGGTTTGACCGATTTCTTGCCCAACATATTGCGATAGCTTATTATTTTATGACAGTTCTTATGTATGCTATTAGCCCAAGAATGGCGTGTAAGTAATAAGTATTTAAATTTTTTGCACTTTAAACCCCTGCCCATCTAACATTCTGGCTTTTTGGAATGTTGAAAGTTAGAGAATGATTTTTTATTTAACCGAGAAAAGCTTTATAAAAAGTGATTTTTGAAGATGCCAATGGTTAAAGATGGTACACTGGAAAAGACTGTGTTTAACTGCATGTATATTCTTAACAAGTTGGTGCATGTCTGTTTGGCTCATCAGTTGCTGATATATGCGTTTGGTTTATAACTAGTGCAGATCACTTTTCTGAATGCGTTGAGAGTCATGCATATGAAACATATGACAAATTCATCAAGGTCCAAGGAGGTATGATTGAGAAGTCTTTTCTTTTTGTTTTGCCCCTTCTTTGTCATCAAGATTTTGACTTTTTTTGGTAATATTAGTTGGACCTTTTTGTAGTTGAGTGATGGCCAGAATATTACTACAAAATTGCTATCTGCCTACAATGAATCAAATATGAAAACAATTTAAAAAGGTTGAGCTCATTCTGGCTTTATGTTGAGACCTACGATAAATTATCTGGCTTATATGGACTTGATTTCAATATTCATTTTGAGTTAACGCAACTGATCTCATTGATCAGCGCACATTTCGAAGAGTGGCATGAATTTCTCCAAAAAAGGTTCAAAAAATGAATCGAGACAAGAATGGTCTTACTTTGATTGCGCTTGGATGTTTGACTATGTATTGGATGAAGGCTTTTCGTGCATTGGTTTCATATGTATTTCTACTTCTTTATCCGATTCCATAACGTGGCATGGTTTTATATATATGTAGAGGAATTGAAGAAAATGCCTGCACCTAAGGTGGCTGTGAATTATTACACAGGAAATGACTTGTATTTATTTGGTAAGCTTCTCATTTTTATGACATATGGTTGTCTAATGAAGAGAAAACTAGATTTTTCACAGTTTCCCTATCTCGTTATGTCAGATGAATTTCAAACTTCCAGAGCTCCAAATTCTCGAAGGCCGAAGATAGGTATATTTTGAAATCTTGGTTGATATGCATTGATAAACTGATTGACTATTTTGATGTGTTTGACACTACCAGTTAAAGATCATAACAGAAGTATGACCTTTCATTCACTAGCTTTTAAGTTTTTGCGTTGAAGGGATCTTTACACATACTTTGTCTACAATCTAAGCTCAGTGAGCTTTAGCCGCTTAAACTTCTAGTTTCACAGATTACAACAACTAAAACGTTTGAGTTCTTGCCGTCCCTGACAATAGAACAATTCATTTCATGTATGATTTTGTTGGAATTTCCGTACATAAAAGATGATTGCTGAGGGAAACTCCATATAAACCTTGCTTTTTCTTTTTGGTTAATGCATTGAAATTAGAATATTGATCATGCAACGTCACAACTTTTCCCTTTCAGAGAATCTGTACGATGTATTTGTAAATGTCAGAGATGATGAGGCTGAGCACTGCAAGACGATGAAGGCCTGCCAAACTCATGGGAACCTCAAGTCACCACATTCGCATGTAGAAGATGATGCTTCTGAAGATGACCCAGTCTGTTCCCTTGAAACGACTGACTGTGAAGGCATCGTAGATTGTATAAAGAAGTCTATTACATCTGACCCTCCCAAGCTGAAGGAAACTACGCGACAATAAAGTCAGCAGAACACAAAGGAAAACAAACGAGGTAGAGGATAATTACAATAATTACTAGATTGTTTATACACACATACACACACACAGAAATACTATCTGATGTATGTCTATTGTTAAAGAAAGGCTGCCACGGAAGGAAATTAGAGCCGGTTTGGTTCAAACCATTACAGATCTGTAATGGCAATCTTTATCTCATTACCATGAAAAGTATGTTTGGTTGGACTTGCTAATGGTAATAAATATTGCACTGTTAATGAGAATTGCACATTTTTGGTGATGAGAATTCCCAAGAGGGGGCCTTCAGAGCTGCTATCTTTTGTAAATTTTTTATTTTGCTCTTTAAAAAAATACCCTCTACCCCTCCTATGTCTGGTATCTTTTATCGTCCTCTCTTTCTCTAATACTCCTCCTGTCCTTAATATAGGACATAATTATTGAGTTGATTTCGATTCTAAATATAAGATCTATTTTTTCATATTTATCATTTTTTTCCTAAAATACTCTTATAAATAAGAAAAAGTAGAAGAGAGAGAGATGATATTAAGGAAGATGATTATGGTGTTTTAGAAAAACATGTTATATTTTTTGTAATTAACTATCTTTCTTAACTTTCTTAATCTAATCGATTTAGTTAAATATATCTTATATTAAATATCAGAGGAGTACCAAGCACCATCATCTCTACTTTTCCCGTCATCGATCTTGTCACCGTCACTTCATCTTGAAATTGCAATAATAATGTCTTCAGGTGTGGTTAATGTGTGTTCTTGAAATTGCACAGGGGAAAAAGAAAACTGCGCAGGTGCGCGTAAATATTAAGAGTAATATGTTAGTGTATCATCAATGACTCGGAAGAGATATATAAATCTTTGTTTTCTTTTTTAAACGATTATTATTTTTTGGAATCTTCTTAACATGCTAATTCTCGTGCCGTACGAAACACAATTATTATGTCACATAATGATTGGATTAAAGATAGGCAGAGAGGAAGACCGGAAAAGAGTTCTATTAAAATATAAAATCAGAATTTAACTTAATTAATAAATATGAAGGATTAAGGATTTTAAACTCATGCAACTAATAAAACTCAAGGAGAATCTCCACTAATAAAAACAAATATTTATTTTGTTCCGGTACCATTTTGAAGCTCAATATTATAAGCAGAAAGCCAATTAATAACTCTCAAAAAGCCTCCCATTAATCCATAACTCAAATAATGGAGAACAATTACCTGAAAAATAAATAAAATTAAATTAAAAAAAACCTAAAATAACTTAAAATAAACATTTATTCTGAATATTTCTTCAACTTTCCATATCATCTGTTATAGTAATAATCAGTACTCTGTCATTCAAATTTTTAAGGTATCATCCAACGTTATATTTCAACTTCACCTTTCACTTTCGGTCCCCAAAAAAAAAAAAAAATCTCGTTTCCCTCAAGCCTCAATTTCTTAAACCTTTGTACTCATATTCTTTGTTAGAGATTTATTAGTAAGTGACTGAACTGCTTCATGCCTCCACTAGCAACTATAGCATGAGTACATTACAAGGGATAAGTATTATATATATATATATATAAATCAATTATAAAGCCAAAATCATAAGTGGTTATTATTAATAATAATTAATTATTATCAGTTTTTCAATTTTATTATCAATTTTACGAGATAATTGTAGTTTTGTGTTCATAGCTAATTTCAAATCAAATTCTAATTTAAATTTCCGTTAATACTTTTTTATTTGGTCTGATTTAAATTTAAAACCATTTAAATTCAAATTCAAACTAGGATAAGCTGATATTATCCTTTTCCCCCCCTGTTATTGTCCATTCTTTAAAATATAAATATAAAAAATAATTATACCTGCACATTTGTATGGGAAGATTTTTCCTGTTACGTTTAATATTACAAAGATTTAAATAGAGCTTTTAGTTTTTAAGGATAATCAATATCAATAATCCAATAATCAGATTAGACCAAAATTTATCCCCAGACACGTTATTTTGGTGTATATATAGAGATTTCAACAGACTTTTCTTCGCCATCAGTTGTGATCGAGTCAGCCAAAAAAAATTCAATTCAGTTGTTATCAGAGGTTCATTGTTTCGGTGACAATTCAATGTACATCGACAAACAAACAGAAATTAGTCCTCTTTGCTTGTTACGTGCAGATTAGCTTCAGTTATCTCCATCACTGCAGAAGGAGCTGTTCAACTCAATTACCGCCGTGTCTTTCCCTGTTATTGCTGTCTTTTCGCTTACCAGCGTGTTTTCCGGTAATAATATTGTGATTTTTTTTTTTGCTGAAATTATTTTCTGAATAATTTTAGGGCCAGCTTCGCGATTTTATTCAATGATGATTTTTCACGAATCAGATTAGGATTTTTAAAATCTGTTTTGTTGTCAAAGTCATAGATTCCGCATATCACTTTTTCGATTTTTGAAACGTCCTTTCTGATTGCTTTTTTATTCCTCGAGATTTTGGCGCCAAAAGCATGACGTTGGATATCTCCAACGGCGAGTTTTTGCGCATGGCGAGCGAGGCTCCGGAATCCTTCACCGTCGGTATTGTGCAGCCGCGAACATCTGCCGAGAGCGGGGACGGTAACGGGACGGGTGGGGAGGAGATGTTGATGCCTCCCCTGAACTTCGGGATGGTCGATTATGGCATTTTTAGGTCTGGCTTCCCTGATTCCGCCAGCTTCGGATTCTTGAAAACCCTTCGCCTACGTTCCATTATGTGAGTTCAATTTATATTAATTGTTAGTTTGGTTAATGAATCTGGTTTCCTTCACTATTTGTATAGCCCACGGGTTTCTAAATTTCTAACGTTGTCGAGACTGTTGATTTGTGCAGATGTTTGTTCCCTGACGAGTATCCCGAAGCCAATTTGGAGTTCTTGAAGGCTAATGGAATAAGGCTTTATCAATTCGGAATCGATGGCTCGAAGGTGTTGTATTTTTCTTCTTGCTTGATCACCCTATTCTGAAGTGTTCTTCTGCAGTTGGATTATTTTCTTTGCCTTATTATTATTATTATTATTATTTTTACTGCTTTCTTGTTGGTTGGCTATTAACTTTGAGCTGGTTGGTTCGCAAATTATTGCATGATGCTTTAGCACGAGTTAGTTTTAGGAGCGATGGGATGTCATAATGAAAGCACTAATGAAGATGGTCTGATGAAATATTGTCACATTACAATATGGTTTAGATAAGGTTTTGATATCCTTGGAACCTAGGTCGTTGGCCCTGGACTATATTTGCCACATTTGACTTGAGGTTCCCACCAATGATGAATAGTTTTGTAACTTGATTGATTGTCTTTGAATGGTTTGCGTGGGGAGTCCTTATTTGAAGGAAGTTTCTGGAAAAGTAGTCGCATGGATAGTTAATTTGATGATGGATTATAAAGGTGTTGAAATTGTAGAGTTCTAAGAAGATGCTGAGAGTTGGCGAGAATGAGTTGTGTATAGATTATTTGCTAAGTTTTTTTTTTTTGGCCAAATACTACAATTACTATTCTCATGTTTGTTTCTCAGCTTTTGCTTGTCCTCTTTTTCCTAAAGCCTTCTGATCTAATGCGGCTGAGATTATTTGAACGCAGACCAAGTCCCCTTCTGATTTGAATTCAAATTGTATCTGATTGCCCCCGGATTTAACTTGTGGCAGCATTCTCTTTGTCCCTAAAGAGTCTCATTTCTCTGTTAGTCTAGTCAACTGAAGCTTTTCCTGCATTTCATGACTACTCTTGATAAAACTCTTCTTAATGTTCATTATTCAGCTATTTCGGAGTTCAGACTATGAGTTTTCATTATCAAATTTTTTTTCCCGAAAGTATTACTTGTGTTCATTTGTCCATTGGACAAATCTATCATGTCCATCAGTATCGTTTCGGACATCCTTTGGAGGAGGGTGTTTAAGCTAGTTTCTTGATCTGTACCTACTAACAATATCATTTATCTTTGCCATAAGATATACCTCACGCATAAAAACTAATTTAGTGGGAACTTCAAAGAAAATCCAGGTCTTGCTGCTGGACCATTGGCTTAATTTAAGATGTTCAAAATCATACGGATTTGGACCATGAAAGTGCAGAGCTTTATTTAAGTAATCCAGAAAAACATTGGGGATATAAAATGCTTAAAAAGCAGCTAACCTTGATTTTAAGAATCATGTTATTCAAACTATTTCAACTGGTCTTCATAGAAGGTTAGTTATTATTGGTACTCTTAAAAGTACTACTCCAAGGCAGTTCCTGCCGTTGCAGGTTTCCTGGCTCAATGCAGATATTATTTTTCTTAACTGAAAGCAACTTCTGGGCCAGAAATTATGAAGTCTGGCCTCCTAAGTGACTATTGCACTTGCTTTTATGCATTCTACAGTGAATTTTTTCTATGCCCTTGAGATTTCTTGGTTTAAATCCCGCTGATTAGATAACATAAAAAAGAGTGTGATCTCTACATTGACAACGCTACTGTGAGCAGGATCTTTTGACAAAAGACCCGGAAGATATAATTCGTGAGGCATTGAAAGTTATCCTAGGTATCCTAAATCCTTGAACTTGAGTATAATGCATAAATCTTATAGCACAGGTTGTTCAGGGATTTATTAACATAAATCATGCTTTTTTTCCCCCTGCACCAGATGTTGGGAACCATCCATTGCTCATTCATTGCAAAAGAGGAAAGGTATTCGCTGTTTCACTGTTCTTTATTCTTTGTTTACTCTGGTATTTGGATTCATTGGTGTATATGTTTTTTGTTTTTTTTTACTGCAAGCAGCATCGCACTGGTTGTCTTGTGGGATGCTTAAGAAAATTGCAAAGATGGTGTCTATCATCCATTTTTGATGAGTATCAAAGTTTTGCAGCTGCTAAAGCTAGAGTGTCAGATCAGAGCTTCATAACATTGTTTGATATTTCTGATTTTAAACCCCAGCCATTGTCATTTTCACCCTCACAAAAGTACAGTATTGACAAAGTCCTGGATGCTGTTCCATCCTACCCCTGAGTATTACCCTGAAGTACTGTGACGCCTCCCAATTTTTTTGGGGGCATATTACCAAGGAATGAACATAGAATCTCAATCTAATTACTCTAACTCACATCAGAACACCCCCATTTTTATTTTTCTTGTCCCCCTCTAGGCTTTTCCCCCTCCAATGTAACATTTTATCAGTTTACATTGAGTAGTTGGTTTGGTTGGTTTTATGCTAAATCAAAATCATTTCCGTGATCAATTGATCCCCTTTTCTTGTAAAGATGATGACAGACAACAGAGAAATGCTAATGCTAGTTTTTTTTTTTTTTTGGGGTGGTTAAATGCTAATGCTAGTTGAATTGTGATTACTTACCATTCCATGCACTAAATGATTTAGTTGACTAATAATTCAAGCCCAAGGGAAAAGGATAGTGCACTTGATAATTTACTCCTCAAGTAAACTCACTTCTTAGCATTTTAATCTTTCCATGATGCAAGATATATGTTTCCTAAGAATGTCTTTGGGCAATTCGTATTTTTTTGGCCATACCCCTTGTGTCTTCTAGCTCGAATTCGCGATGTTATGCGTAACAAAGGCTTAATTATGCAACCCAGGCAATTCACATTTCAATCTTTCATGTGCTTTCAGATTAAAATTAATTTTTCTTACCAACACCCGGGTGTTTCAGGCAGCATAATCGGAATGTGAGGGAGTTTCGGACTTGTGCTGAACACGTTGAACCTTTCGACCATTTTTATTTGTATTTTGTTTTCTTGGGTGCTATTTGTTCCGGCACCGATCTGGGTTTGAGGGTTGACATGATTCCGTACTCAAGGCGACACCAATAGCTGGGATTTTTGTCCCATGGTCTTCCAAAAAGGGAAATCAACCTACTAAATACCAATGCCCAAAATCATCCTCCTTAATTCTTTTAATTCAAGCCATTCAGTGGGATTGGAAAAGCTCCCTGGATCGACAGAGAAGCTGCCAAATATTCTAGATTATCTGCCTTTGACACAACGCCTCTATACTTTTTGGGTGATGAAGTCATCATAGCCAAGATGAATCGACACACAAGTAATTAAAATTAATTTTTATTTGAAGTTTAATTTTTTTGTACAGTTATTTGATTTACTTCCTCAACTGAACCGTCCTACAGTTAGCAAATTTATTAAACACTCGCGTATTACAATTTCTCCTGTTTAATCTCCCCCAGATCTGAATCCCAGAGTTGACTGATAACATTAAAAACCCACACAGAAGATAATCTAATGTTATCTACCGATTAGTCAGTTCATTTTGAGTCGCTTTTGCAAACTTCAATCAATGTCAAAGAAAAGAGGAGGGAAGAATTTGAGGGATTGAGTTAGGTGAGCAATGTAGACGAGGAACAATCGATTCGCCAATCTTAACAAATGACGACCGAAACGATGACTCGCCAATTATCACTTTGCCTCTCTGTTCGTTCATGGCAGAGACACTCGTCACAGTCTCCCCATTATCTCTTGTCGACTACAGAGGCCTTTCAATCATACTTACAAAGAACAGAAACAATCCCCTCACTTGATCGCAGCCAAATAGAAGCAACCACTGAAAACCCTAATTCCCTTAGCCGCAGCCAAATGGTGCCTGTGCTTGAGTTTGACGGGCAATTTATAGAGCATTTCTTTGTTTAACCTAATGCTGTATTTACGAAAATAGCCTTTTTGATGGCGATTCATCAGTTATCATCCACGCGTCAAGGCAGGGACCGGAGCCGAATGCTTGATGCGATCAAGGTCAAGATGAGGAGGTCTTCAGATCATACGGTTGAGAATGGGGAACGCGTAGGGCCCATTTTCGGGGCCTGATGACTGAATCTCCTATTATCGGAATTCGGAAATACGAAACTGATTCTTCTCTCTAGGGTTTCAACTTTTAACTAAACCCCAGCACTCTATCTCCTTCTAGAGTTTTCTTCCGGTTATCGACTGGGCAATAGCTGGGGATTATCCCTTCTTGCGGGAAGCTTTCAGTTTTTCATAGCTTGTAAGTACCTCTTCTCCCTTATCTCTCTTTGGTGTCGGCTTCGTTGGATAGAATTTTAAAGGTTCTGAAAGGTCACGGGCTTGCTGGTAGGACTCTGTTCGATTTAATATTTGTTTGAATAATTGATTGAGGCTCTGCCACTGCGTCTGCCTGATTGGGCAGAACAGAGATAGAATTATATGGGGAAATCCGGGGGTAGGAAAAAGAAGGGTGGTTCAAATCAAGTTGTTGCTGATAATTCGGCTCCAAGTGCTAATGGTGGTGTGGATTTAGACTCTTCAGTCTTTCTGAAAAGAGCCCTTGAGCTCAAAGAAGAAGGGAACAAGAGATTTCAAAACAAGGACTATGCTGGTGCCCTTGGGCAGTATGAGAATGCTCTTCGGCTAACCCCCAAGACCCACCCTGAGAGAGCGGTCTTTCACAGCAACAGAGCGGCATGCTTGATGCAAATGAAGCCCATAGATTACGAAACTGTGATTGCTGAATGCACCATGGCATTGCAGGTCCAGCCCCATTACGTCCGGGCACTTCTTCGGAGGGCTCGGGCATTTGAGGCTATAGGGAAGTATGAAATGGCCATGCAGGATGTCCAAGGCTTACTGGCATCTGACCCTAATCATCGGGATGCTCTGGAGATTGCCCAGAGACTGAGGACAGCACTAGGTCCTCGCCAGGAAGCCCAGCAGGATCTTCAGAGTCGGCCATCCCCTGCTGCTCTTGGTGCTTCTGCAGTCCGTGGGGCCCCTATTGCTGGTTTAGGGCCATGTTTACCGGCCAGGCCAGCGGCAAAGAAAGCGGCAAACGCAGCAGGTGGTTCAGTTGCCCCTGCTAACAGTAAGCCAGAGAAGTCCCAACCAACTTTAGTTACTGAAAATGGTCCTGAGACCAAGCCGCAAATGCCAAAAGTTGTATTGAAGCCTTCAAATGCTTCAGCAAGATCACTGAACCCAAGAAAAGAAAACTACAATGAACTGTCATTGCATTCATCAATTACTCATGGACAGCATTTAGAATTTGCAATTCAGTGGAGGCCATTGAAACTTGTTTATGATCATGACATTAGGCTTGCCCGGATGCCAGTGAATTGCAATTTTAGAACACTAAGAGATATAGTGAGTAAAAGATTTCCATCATCTAAGTCAGTTCTGATCAAGTATAAGGATAGCGATGGTGATTTGGTGACAATAACTTCTACTGAGGAGCTTAGACTAGCAGAATCTAGTGCAGATAGCCATCTTATAAGAGAGCCTGATGCAGATAAAAGTGATTCTGTTGGCACATTGAGACTGCACATTGTTGAAGTTAGTCCTGAGCAGGAGCCTCCTTTACCAGAAGAAGAGGAAGTAAAACCTGTTGAGAGTGAAGGCATCAAGGGAGATGAGAGTGGGTCACATACTTCCCAAAGTGAATGTGTCCTAGAGGCTCCAGAGACCGAGGTTGATAAAATGGGGAAAGAAGCTCCCAAAGAGAAACAAACAACTACAGAAGATGCTGAATGCAAGGAAGTGGAGATGGATGATTGGTTGTTTGAATTTGCTCAGCTTTTCCGCTCCCATGTGGGCATTGATCCAGATGCTCATATTGACTTGCATGAGCTTGGGATGGAGCTTTGTTCTGAGGCGCTTGAGGAAACAGTAACTAGCGAGGAGGCTCAAGATCTCTTTGACAAAGCTGCTTCAAAGTTCCAGGAGGTAGCTGCTTTGGCATTCTTCAATTGGGGAAATATTCACATGTGTGCAGCTAGAAAACGAATTCCCTTAGACGAGTCAGGTGAGAAGGAAAAAGTGGCAGAGCAGCTTCAAGTGGCTTATGATTGGGTCAAGGAAAAATATTCGTTGGCAAGGAAGAAGTATGAAGAAGCCCTTTTAATAAAACCAGACTTCTATGAGGGATTGCTAGCTCTGGGACAGCAACAATTTGAGATGGCCAAACTTAATTGGTCATTTGCACTTGCTAAGAAGATGGATTTATCAGCTTGGGATTCTTCAGAGACACTTAAACTCTTTGACAGTGCAGAGGAGAAGATGAAAGCTGCAACTGATATGTGGGAAAAGCTGGAAGAGCAGAGGGCAAATGAGCTAAAAGATCCTAATGCAACCAAGAAAGAGGAACTACTGAGAAGAAGGAAAAAACAGGGAGCTGCTGCTGAAGGTGAGACCTCTGCGGTTGGTGGTCATGGTGATATATCTGCAGAAGAAGCTGCAGAGCAAGCAGCTGTCATGAGATCACAGATTCACCTCTTCTGGGGGAATATGCTATTTGAAAGATCCCAAGTCGAATGCAAATTAGGGATGGGTGGTTGGAAGAAAAATTTGGATACAGCGGTGGAGCGTTTTAAACTTGCAGGTGCTTCTGAGACTGACATTTCCTTGGTTCTGAAGAATCATTGCTCTAATGGGGATGCAAAGGAAGATGAGAAAAAGATTCAGAACTCCCAACCCAACAAGACTGGTGAAACTGACAAGACCAGTGAGACCAGTCATGTATGACGTATACGAGATGGTTTTGATATATCTTGTGTCTGCTCATGGTGTCTGTCTCCAGTGAAGAAAAATCTACTGAACTCGGACGGGATTTAGAATTCTTTTTTGAATGGAAATTGGAAATTTTGGTTGCCTAAATTAAACTAGATAGCTTTGATTTTTTTTCCCCTTTTAGTTTTGCTGTTTGCCGAAGTGCTATGTAATCTGAAGGAGATGATGATTTCTTAACATTATGTGCGCTTATAACGAGTTTTCAATAATCAATATTACACCCTAAGGATCGGAGTTCTTTTTCCTTCCTCGAATGAGAGCGATCTTCCAATCTGTTGATAATACCTTGTAGACCTTGACTGGATATGGTTCGATTTCATCATTCCGTACGTGATCCTACTTGGGTGCTGGGCATATTAGACTCCTTCCTCTTCAAGTTGAAAAGATGAAGTTACAGAGACCAACAGATTACTCTTCCCTATTTGTGGTGAAAGGTAGGGAGTTTTTTTTTTTTTAATATATATATATATAATCATTAAATAATGTAAATATTTTTGTAAAATCAAATACAAAACTTTATTGATATGCCCGGGTACTCTTTTAAATGAATATTATTTAACCACAGATGGATGCATTAATAAGGAACAAAACATTTAATAGTACCCTCTTAAGATTTGAAAATGAATCTTATTTTGGATCATAAAAATAAATTTTTTTGGTGACACTTGTTATGAAATGGAGGGAATCAGATCAGAAAATTCCTTTTACACTAAATAAACCATTTCATTTATTATCTGAAAATTATTTTATTCACGACTAGTAAAATTTGATCGCTTAGGTTAAATGCACATGTACAGAATCCATCTCATAATCCTTTGTTCCATTTTCTTTGCTCATCTCCAGTGAGCCGCCGTCCCATTCTAGATGTTCGGTGGATTCCCTTCCACAACCACCGCCATATATCTCAGCCCTTTGATCATGCCACGTTTTCTCCATCCATACGTTTTTCATGCAAACCCTAAAGGCCAGATTCTTTGCTGACCACGTTGACTTGACTGCTTCTCCGTTCAACCCTCCTCTATTTCTCCGTCCCCAGGAACCTTGGATGGACCCAAAAGTCAGATATCTCCTCTCATAATTCCCCCCGCCACCCCCCAGAAAACGACATTTCGGGCTATAACCGTCTTTACACTCCTTTTTACGGTGTCGTTTCGTCTTGGGCCTTACTCCTCACTGTTGATCGAGAGGTTCCCACTACCTTCCCTGGAAAAGAATATGCCCAAAATGTGCATCTTTCTTGGAACCTGAGGCAATTCATGCACCACTTTTCTTCTCTTTTTATTATGTTGTCTAACGCATAATTCATATTGTTTTCAGTAGTTGAGAATATAATATATATAAATGCTCCTGAATCTCGACTTACCCAGGTTTCTTGGGCATCAAGTCCCTGTTCTTTATTATTTGTTCCCCTTTCCCCCCAAAAATATATAGAAAAGAAATTAGATTTTGTCCAAGAGTGTACAAAACGTTATTTGTCTTCAACTTTTCTCCAAGTTATTTGGTGGCGGCTACCCCAACACAGCTAACCTTCAACAAAAAAGTGTGAAAAAGCATTGTTCTCGATTCATCACGTCAGGAAGATCACTACAGCAAGACCCCACAACACCAGAGGTAACGTTTCCTTTCTTTAACTACGAATGATCAATAATGAGAATCATGTAACCGTCAATAATGGGAATTGTCTGTGTGCTCATTGGAGATCTATGAAATTTAAAGTTTTTTTGCGTTTTGGTCTTCACGATGCTGTGTAAGCATGCCTTTGTCGCATTGCATCTTAGCTGTTTGGTAATATGCTTTGGTTCTTTTGAACGCTGTTTTTCTTCTTGTTCAATACTAATTCATCACAGGGTATTCTTTACGTTGAATGTGCAAGCTGTATATCAGTTAAAATCTTGGTTTCTTCAGCTAAGACCCTGCCGCCATATCTTTGATAATCTAATAACTAGGTTACTTTTCATTTATAAAGTTTTATTTTTCAGGCAAGACATCTGATTGAATCATCATGGTATTTTTGGACATATCTTCATACGTTATTGTTCCAAGCATGTTTATAATTTTCGATGTGGTAGGTATTTGTGTCCAGTTTGCACAATCAGTTGCTATTCTGGGAGTTCCTAAATTTTACGGGGGTTTTTTTTCTTTGTATCTGCCAGCATCTCACGAGCAAAGCTAATTTAATTTTTGTTTTCTTATAATAAAGTTCTTGGAAATGAGGGTTGCCAGCATGGGACCAAACTTCAACAGTTCAACTGTCTTCACTTTTGTCCCTGCTCGTGTATTGTATTGTCCACGCATCACGCCACGTATATATATTGGTGCTTTGACATGAAACTCATATAACATCTCATTTTATGATATAATTCTTTGCTTAGGATCTTTTCCTATTCCTTTGATATTCCGGTCTAGCACCTTGGCCAATAATCATGATGTAATATATGTCTACTATCGTTTTTCATTTCATTCTTCCTCCTCCGTAAAGTTAAATACATTGAAGCCAATAAACTTCAATTTTTCGCAGAGCTGGTTTTTCAACAATGGCATTGGCAAGGATTGCTAGAACCAGCTTGAAAAGATCGGCAGTTGCTCTTGGCAGCAATGCATGTGAGAAGGATTTGTTCTATGAAGGAGCATACGCACGTAAAAGCTCCTTACCTTGCCAAGTACCTGTCAAAGAATGTGGCAACTTTTCATATACTACAATGAAGAAGCAGATTCAGATGAATTTTTCGGTCAGAGGAATAACATCAACTCCTCAGTACCAATTTCCTTCCGCTAACACACAGAGGGTTATGGAGGTGCCGGAGTCAGAGGCAGAGTCAGAGATAGAGCATGAGGAGACAAGGTATGCAGGGCTAGAGGCAACAAAGCCAGGTGAAAAGCCTAGGGTGGTTGTTCTTGGTACTGGTTGGGCTGCATGTCGGTTCCTTAAAGGCCTAGACACCAAAATCTATGATGTGGTGTGCATATCTCCGAGGAATCACATGGTCTTTACTCCTTTGTTGGCTTCCACATGTGTTGGAACTCTCGAATTCCGTTCTGTTGCTGAGCCTGTCAGCAGAATACAGAATTCATTATCAAGGAGTCCAAACTCCTACTTCTATCTAGCCTCCTGCATTGGCATTGACACAGACAAACATGAAGTGAGTCAGAAATCTTAATTTCCTCAAGTACTTGGAAACTCATAAGAGAGCAGGGTATGAAAAATATATGGGAATATGGTATTCTTATTTTTTTTTTTTTAAGATTCTTACAACACAAATTCTTTTATCTATTTTTTTAAACTTTTGTGTACGTAAATACATAGAAAATTTAATTCATCATGCATGACACGGAATAGACAATCAGAAGTCGGTGTGGTAAAGTTCCAAGGGCTGATTTTTCTTCCATACGGACAGGTTTACTGCGAGGCAGTCAACAATGGTGGATTACCTAGGGAGCCTTACCAGTTCAAAGTTGCGTATGACAAACTTGTAATAGCAGCTGGAGCTGAGCCTTTAACCTTTGGTATCAAAGGAGTGAAGGAGCATGCCTTTTTCCTTCGCGAAGTGTATCATGCTCAAGAAATAAGGAAGAAGCTTCTCCTTAACCTGATGCTATCTGAGAATCCTGGTCTGTCTTACATACCCTTCACAACTTATTTCTCGTTTTTCTCGTCTGTGCAGTCGTTTAGACAGATTCATAGAATATTTAACTTGAATAACTAGATATTAGCCAGTCATTCACATATTCTGCTTTCCTGAACTATCTCTTCTTCTTGGCTTTACTTGGAGAACGGTGTGTGAGCTCACTTCCCTTTAAACACGATTTCAATAAAGTTTCTCAAGAGTCTGATTTTAAGTTCCCTAATATTAACATACAATCTATCGTTTTGGAGCTGACAGTCATATTATTTATTCTCACAGAAAGGTACTTCCACATCCCATTAGTCTCGTAATAGAACTTGAAAGCGATTATCTAAATAGCAAAATCTAACTTTCTATCTCTTCTATTTTGTCTCTTTTTTTTTTCATTAGGAGCTGTACCAATAATTATTCTAAAGCCTAACCAAAGCACAACATGCTTTCATTACCACAGGCATATCAGAAGAAGAAAAGAAACGCCTTTTACATTGTGTAGTTATTGGCGGTGGCCCAACAGGGGTGGAATTCAGCGGTGAATTGAGTGATTTCATCAAGAGAGATGTTCATGAACGATATACTCATGTCAAAGATTATATTCGTGTCACACTCATTGAGGTTCATGCTTTTGCCCCCTAAATTCGAAGTCAACTCTTTACAAAATGATTAAATTTGGTGTTAACGTAATTCAGTTGTTGATTGAATTTCTCTTGATCAGGCAAATGAGATATTGTCATCCTTTGATATTAGCCTACGACAATATGCAACAAAACACTTGACAAAGGTAAGCCCCTTTTCTTTGAATGATAAGGTAATGCCTTTTGATAATAGTCTTGACAGCCTAGCGTTAGATAATAAATTTTGGATGGTGGTCCTAGACATGGTATCAAAGCGTCAACCAAATGATTCTAGAGTTCCAGTCTTCCTAGTACAAAATAGGGAATCTGTGCTTTTTTCCACCCTTAAACGCTTTCAAGCCAGAGAAGCTTTTGGGCCATCTGGGCTTGAAAGGACTTTAATGTGAGGAAATGTCAAGGATTATAACAAGAACTAATAATGGATTTTCACTTTTAGCAGTCTAAGCTTTTGAATTGAGGTCAGCTTCAAGCTAAAACCTGACTCTTGCATTTTTTTTTTTTTGTTCCCACAGGTCGGAGTTCGTCTTATGAGGGGTGTGGTGAAGGAGGTGCATCCAAAGAAGATAGTTCTGAGTGATGGAACTGATGTTCCGTATGGTCTCTTGGTCTGGTCCACAGGGGTTGGCTCCTCTGAGTTTGTAAAATCGTTAAATCTTCCAAAGTCTCCTGGAGGAAGGTAAATGCAGCAGAATAATCACACTGTTTTGGCCATTTTCTATTATATTTTCTGATGAATTACCATTGCTAAATGTCACAGAATCGGCATTGATCAATGGCTGCGCGTTCCATCTGTTGAAGATGTCTTTGCACTGGGGGATTGTGCTGGCTTTCTTGAACATACGGGCAGGCCTGTTCTTCCAGCTTTAGCTCAGGTTAGAACTTTTCACTCGTGTGACTTTTGCTTCTCTAGATGAATGGATATCATATTTCACCCTCAAACTTAGTCTGTTTTGATTAATAATGTCCTTGATTGGGGACGATAATAATACATATATATAAAATATCAGGTATCACACTCATATTAAGTGCTTATCTGTGGGTTGATCATTAACAGGTTGCTGAAAGAGAGGGAAAGTTTCTTGTGGAATTGTTCAACAAAATGGGAAAGGAGAATGGAGGCAAAGCTTTCTCTGCAAAAGACATCCCACTCGGAGAGCCTTTTGTTTATAGGCATCTTGGAAGCATGGCTTCTGTAGGTCACTATAAAGCACTGGTTGATCTACGTCAGTCCAAGGTAACCAAATAGTTTCTATCTTTAGACAGATATGTATGACTGTCCCCTTTAACAGGCTCATAAATTTTCTTGTTATTGACTAATTCCATTTTTGTCCCACGCTTGTGTTGGTTTTTATGAAACTCATGGAGCTCTTAAACTTCTGTTTCTGTTCAATGTATTGTGTAGGATGAAAGAGGGTTGTCCTTTGCTGGTTTTATCAGTTGGTTGATATGGCGTTCTGCTTACCTGACACGTGTAGTAAGCTGGAGGAACAGGTTCTACGTGGCAGTTAACTGGGCAACCACTCTAGTTTTTGGCAGAGACAACTCTCGGATCGGTTAAAAGTTAATATATATATATATATATATATATATATATCACTTCTACCAGAACTACAATACTAGGTGGTATCTTAAAAAAAAAAAAAGAATTAATTCATGCAAGTCTTGTATTATTTTCTGAGTAATGAGCCTCATTGTTCTTTTAGCCTACTGTTTCTGTTATAGAATTCAGAGTAAAGAAACGCTATAGTTAGCCTCATAGCTTGTTCTTACAAGTATAAGATGTCATTAGGATTGTTAATACCACAAGTATTAAAATAAATTAAGGCAATTTTTCTGGGCAGAAAATAAAAATGAGATCATCACATATCAAATGTGTATTCGTAACCTACTTCATCTTTTTTATTTATTTCCATTACACCACATTGTAATTCTTTTAAATAATATGAAAACATAAAAAATAAAATTAAGATCCTAAACAAGACAAGGTGTTTTAGACTTTGCTTGAGACTATAAAAAGAAAATGTAGTAGTAACTCTGAGTAAGAGAAAATCAAGCAGGCCGTTTAAAAATGGAAACCATGTCATGCTGTGGATAAATTGTCATTTCAGTAGCATATTTTGCTATTACTATCATGACATGCAATAATTATCATAGTCTTAATTCTTAAATTAATAGTTTCCACTGAGTTGCAACTGTAGAGATCAAAGAAATATATGAAAAGTTGAAGAACAAATATAGCCTCAGGTGTCGTTGCCTTATAAATCAGTGTATAGGAATACACTGACAATGCGTAAACAGAAAGGTCAATTTTCTTTTAACAATGTAGAAAATTGAAGTCAGGCCGAAAAGATTTTTGCAGAAGAGTACAGGCGTTTTGAAAATTGACGGCCGAATGCACAAAATACCTAGTTTTCAGCTTCAACATTTCCTTTCAAACACAAACTAATTCTGGAAGATATTTAAAGACCCACCAATCAAAACCAATGCCCCCTCGTAAGGCTTGTAAGTCAAAAATTAAAGAGAACAGGCTTTAAATTTAACGTTGGAGTTTATTACTCCTAAGGACCACTAATTATGGTCTTTGACTTTCGATCAGCGATCAAGGACCACTAGGGGTGTGACTGATGAAAAATGACTTGAAAAGCATTCACCTTGACAACCCTCCACTATGCTCAGAAGTAACTTCTTTGTTATTGCAATACAATTCTTTCCCTCGAAATATACCTTATAATTTATTTGACTTCTTACATGGCCTGAAGGTTTTTAATCTCTATTACACCGGGATTGATTCCCTTCCCGAAACATCAAACAACTTCCTCATGGAACAGGACAACTAGGCAACCACAGATGACTAAATATCTAAAACACTATGATTAAAAGCTTGCCATTTGGGTTTCTCTCAGCATTAACGGCTATGTATGAACTGTTGTTATGTAATGCTTTTGAGTTTTAAATGCCATTGCCACAAACCACTGCTGAGTTTAGCACTAATGAATTCATATCTTCCTCAAGTTTATCTACTCTTGAAGTGGACTTTTGGAGCTCTGAAGTCTATGATATATACACTAGATCAGGTCACTGGGTTCAGCTAGACAAGTTTAAGTTCAATGTTGGGCCAGGAGAGATCCAAGAAGTCTCAGAGACTAGAAGCATATCAGTTTCGGGAACAACTGTTATGAGAGGAAGTCCCCTTTAAATCCCACAGAATACTGTTGAGTTGATGTTTATGATTGCCAGGATATGACAGGGCAAACTACTAGCCTTGTCAATGCAGAGAAGCTTAGAAAACGCACTGTAGTGCCCTGTTACAGTATCGAATCCACAGTTGATCTTAAGAAAACAATTTGTCTATGCTGAAGAGTGGAGACACTAGTTCTGAGGTTTTTGACGAATTTAAGGATGATTTGCAGGAAAGTGATGACAACGTCTACTCTTATGAGATTGAAGATCATCAATGTAGAATCCCGTCCAAGTTCGAAGAATCTATTCTCAGGGCACCTATTACTGCAACTTATTTAATTTAACCCTGAAGAAATCAGAATGAGCCATTGTAACAGTACGGATAATGGAGGGACTTGATGATATGGGAGAAAGACAACAATATTCATGCACCTAAAATCCTATTTCCAAAACTAAAGAAGTTGAGGTTGGAATTTATGCCTGAACTTAAAGAGATATATGGTGGCTTCATCAGTTTTAGCTTTCTATGGTGTGTTCAAGTAATTTCGTGTGATACTCTCAAGAGGCAACGTTTTGATCCTGACGATTTAGTTTGCAATTCTTTGGAAATCAACGGATCAAAGTATTTTCAATGTCTTATGGCCTATTGACAGATCAGCTCTCCTGTATAGAGGAGGTCGTGGGTTCAATTCCACTTTTAACCTCATGTCATTAGTGCTAGTCTCTCTAATATTATCTTCAGTTTTTACTATAATAATTAATTAACTAATTTGAATAAATTAAGAAAATTAGTCAAGTTAGTTATTTATAATACATAAGTATTATCTTTCCCAAAATATTCTTACTAATCAAATGTATTAGCTAAAACTACTATTATTACAAGTATTATCTTTGGAAAAAATAAATAAATATGAGAGACAAAATGAATTGAAGTTTTATATTTAATATCAAATTGAAAGTCAAAGCAGCTTTTATATTAAGGATCGGAGGCAATACTTATTTAAAGGGTCAAAATATTGGTGGGAGTCACTTGAGTGGGGTGAACCTTCTGCGAAGCAAATAATGGAAGCTTGTTTCATAGAACTGCCAGCAATGGGGTCAGATCAAGTTGCTACTAGTAGCAGCCAAACAGGTCTGGATAACACGGAGTATAACCACACACAACCGTTCCTGTTGTTTCATTTGTCGAAGTTACTTTATATATACAGGATGTTACTGTATACAATATAGGAATCTTATTGTTTATTTGATATTGATTTTAAATCTACCTTTTAAATTGGTATTGATAAGCTTACTAAAATGTGCTAGTATTATCGTAACATACATGTGGCGCCATTGACTAGGTGCGTTAGTCTCTATTATCTCACTTTGATAATTTGCTGGAGTCCAAAATGAGGAAGATGACAATCTGAAATCAAGGTTTGAACAAGTGGTTTCACCAGTAAGACTTAAAGCAGATACTGTATATCTGAAGGCCAAAAGAACTTAAAGAGAAAAGGTTGTCAATTTGGTCTGTAAAAGCAACCTTTCAACCTTAATTAGTTGAAACAAAGGGCATATAATAATGCAGAATCATGATCACTTGTTCATGTGATGATGTGAATGACCATGCAAAAACCAAAAAAGTGGGCTCCACTTATGCACTACAATGGGTTAGGGACATAGAATTGCGGTTAACAGTTGAAGCTTTTGGTTTAGTAACAGCAAAAGATTACAACAAACCTACTTTTCCAACAGGAAACCTTAATTTCTATTTACCAGGAAAACAGACGTGCAGTAGCATGATAATAACCTATGTTGTTTTTTTTTTTTCAATTCAATTCTTGTTCTTGTTCTGTTTCATTCTTTGCTCTCACCCTATCAGATTTGGAATCTGAGTAATATAAGCAGGGAAGTAGGAAGAGTTGGTGATGAATAGGACTTGTGGTCCAAAATGAGCATTGTGACTTGTTGGAATTGGCCTCTTGTTTTTAATTAGTGTGAACTCTAAATAGTGAAACCATAGTGTATTAGTTAGTTGGTGTCAACTACTTACTTACCTACTTTTTCTATCTCTATTGTTGATGCCAATGGCAGTCCTGTTTCCTTTTCTTTCTTGTTTTTTTTTTCACTCCAAGTTGATTTATCTGAGATGCTTTGGGGAACATGTTTGAGTTCATAATATTATAAACATACTCATTAGTTTGGTTGTTGTCTAATTCCAAGGGTTTCACAAAATTTTTAATTGGTTGTTTTTCTTGGGATTGTCTTATACTTCAACCGTAAAACAGTTAATGTCTTATTATTTGATTGCTTTTAAAAATGAAGTTTATAAATGAAAAGAAAAGCATTCATTTTCTATTGGACAGGACAGAGGTGTTCTAGACTTTCCGTATAGGTTCAAATCTTATTTGAGGCAGATTATTTACATAAATATTTAATTTGATTTCAAACCAAAAAAAAAAAAGATGAACCCACACGAGCAGACCTTAAATTTTTTGTTGAAATTATGTTGGACGGTCCACTTTTCAAACAAATGGAGCTCCTTTTTTAAAATTTGCTAACGTTAGCAACTTACTCATAATTTCTCTTTGTTTTTTAAAAAAAAAGAAGAAATATTCTTTTAGTTTTATTAAGACTTTCTCTCTATTTTCAAAGCATACACCTTGTCGAAAATGAAAGAAAATTTTATATACTTTTAGCATAATTCAAGAGAAACATTTGTACTTCATTTTTTGTTTTGCCCCCAGAGAAAGTTACTACTACTTTTAATCCTTAATATAAGAGTTAGATAACTAATTTGTAAATATTAAAAAAATTAGTTAAGTTAGTTATTTAAAATAAATAAATATTATTTTTTTATAAAATATCTTTATTAATAATATATATTAGAATGAAAACCATTTAACATATATAATTATTATAGAGACTACTTTGGGGTAAAATGAATAAATATAGGAGACAAAATATATTGAAGTCTTATAATTAAATCTCTAACTATTTTTTATATTTAGGATCGGAGGTATTACATGTTATGAAAGTAAAAATATTTGTATAATTTTAATAAAACTCGTAGAAGGTCTGGGTAATTAATCTTTTTCTTTTTGAGAAATTTGTTTATAGGCATGGAAATTGAAAATAAGACGAAACTCAAGTAAACTTAACAAGATTCAAGAAAGATTTTTCATAATGTTACTGAAAAATACAAGAAGAACAGCCATTTACTTGCTGGAAATAAACACAGAAATTGAGAAAAGATCCACCACCCTGTTTGTTTCCTTTTAATTGAAAGAACATAATAATCACCTCACAAATGTGTTAACTTAAATCCTTACCTGATATAATCAATACGTCTTTGTATATAATTTTAGATTCCACTTGATTTTTCTCCCCACTTCAGACATGTGAGCCAAAATTGTACACGCAGCATTTATATTAAATTACTAGAAAGATTTTCCCAAACTACGTGACCTGTAAAATGGTAGGCAGAAGAATATCATGTTGCGATAACCCTGCGAATCATCGAAGTCACTAGAGATCACTTTCTGGCTTCAACTACTTTTGCCTGTCTCTCTTTGGTACTTCTGTTTGTGGTATAATTTTCTTGTTTTTTTTCTTTTTGGAAAAATTCACATGTCCCTTTTGGCCAACACAAGACAT